CATATCATATCCTTCCCACACAGTACACGAATCGCCAAGTCGAGATGGATCCCGTATAATGCCAGATCTCGCTGTCCAACCACATCCTCTTTTTGTTCCACCACCACCAGTCCCACACCCTGGCCCCCCTCCGAGTGATACGAGGGTACTTTTGAATTTGTCATATCTATTGTTTGTGGTTGATATAGGGCTTTTCCTGATACTAATATGGTTTATGTAGGGAAATCCTTATTCGAGAATAATGGTTGAAGTAGCCGTGGGCCAAACCTCCTCCGACTTAAAAGAAAAGTGCAGGAAATGGAAGCGAGAGCCGTATGTACGAGCCATACTCGGCATCAAGCTTTACGAAATAAAGAATACACGCAATGCTCAAGGATACAGAGATCGGGCCATGAAGGTATATATCTCTCTATTTCATTATTATATAATTTTTTATATTAATAGTTTTTTAATATTAGGCTATTCTTTGGCGACAAGGGGCGCGAAGGCAAACGGTAAGATTTACTTGTCTGGAGAGAGAAATTTATATTTCGTGTAATGTTCAAAATCTTTTTATATGGCAGTGGAAATTTGGGACCATCAACAAAGACGGATCTGCTACTGGCGTTAATGGTTGTAATGCCCTAAACAACCCGGACTATATAATCAACATCCCCGTTAGCGACGCGTTTTACGATCCGCCGGTTCCTGCCATTGGATATGTTCCGTTAGCACCACCACCTGCTATATTGATGGCTACTAATATTACCATTGACTTGTATGAAGTTCAGCAAGCAGTTTTGCTTGTCCAGTCAAAGTGAAAAACATCAACCTTCTTTAACTTCATCTCGTCTCTTTCTAAACTTGGCAAGCTGAAATCTGATATAAATAGGGGGAACAACCAATATCATAGCTGTTAAGCAAATCTCCCGTTTGTCATTCTTAATACTTTACTATTTTCTTCTGTGCTATAAAATTATGAATACAAATTTCCTTCATTAAATTAGCAAGGCTGGATCTCAAGTCTCTATTAATAATATATTAGATTGAATGTTCATAGCAGATGATGGGCTAGTTAAATTCTTTTAATTGAGTCTTATTCTATGGCTCTATTCTTTAGCTAAAGTCGATAATAAATTTCTACTACAAAAATACAAAAGTAAAAATCAATTATTAATGAAACCTTGAAATGACAGTTCCAGGTTCGGATTAACAAACATCATTGAAAATGCTTTATTATTATACAAATGCAGAACTGGTTCACCCAAAGTTATATCATACAAAATAACAACAGACTAGAAAAAGACATCAGGTCAAGAGGCATTTAGCATGCTAATACCAATAGAATATCTATTTAAATACTTATACAATTGGTTTATTAAAACGTCCAATAAAAGTTGAATTTAGAAAGCAAAGGATAAAATGTAAACATGCTGCCCCTCTCCAAAAATCCCTTACGTTTTTCTTTGAAGGCCACCAGCACAGGTGAGACCCTGAACTATGCACAATTGTCCATATGCAACCTATAAAACTCACTATGTCCTTTCCGTTTCATTTTGCTCCTTTACTCGTTCATTTCGTCAATTGCTTCTTTCTCTATATTAGTTTCACTTAAATTATCTATCGTATGCACAAGTTAATCCTAATTCTGTATCAGAAGATCTTCTCGGCGTTGTCCAGACATGGCAGAACTTGTGTGGTATTCCGGCGATAATGGCACGGCTAGACCAGAAGAATATTCATTTGTGTACGATGACGGTTGGTCATCTTCAACGTTATTAGCCGGGAGCTTCCTGATTTTTTGAGACAATAAAAATGAGTACGTAAAGTATAGAGGAGGGAATTTATCATGTACATTTGATACCACGGGTTATGACATGCTATGTGGGCGTTGCCAAGAAGGTATATCGGTATCGGGAATAAACTTACCCTAATGCTTTCTCGCTTGGCCCGCTGATTTGTGGGTCATAGATTGCTTCGTTGTCGTCAGTGAATGGATTAAAATTACCGTGTTTCTGTGGTTTGCTATTATTCATTTATGCCAACCATGTGACTTTTAATAACGCATACTCGCACTCTTGTGTAAGAATATTTTCAATGAACTGCTGCTTTTGAATCCTTACCTTGGACCCACACCAGCCCCCTCGGATATATCGTAAAAGTGCTCCCCCGCACTGGGCCGCGTGATCTATAAACAAAGTTGTTTGTGAATCGTTTATATCTTGCCTTTTATGCGCCTGTCGAAATGTTTCGCTTTCAGCTCACCTGCTTTGACTCTGCTTTTGCCAAGCCAACATTCCGTCGATCAACCATATCATCATATAGTTTAAACGAGTTTAATAATTCTTGGTTCACGATGATTAAGGTATCTATATAAAGAGCGAAAAGTGAGCGGGTGGAGAGGTGTGAAGCCACGAAAAGACATTGAATGAAAAGACATTGAATTAACTTTTTTAACTTACTTATAAGTTGTTCATCAGTAACCTCAGCCAAGTGTTTTGCCAGCCTTTGGTTTATTTGCTTACATTTATTATAAAACTCCTAAATAGACAAATCAGATAGAGGTTTAGAAGACTGATAAAACAGAGAATACGCTGCTTCTGGAAGGTACCTGAATCAACTCGTTTTTAGTAATATCCTCGCTCTCTGGATCAGTAAATGCTAATGTTTGGTTGAGCACTTGCGCGGCATTCTTAGCTACTTCAATATCATCTGTCATTGCGGCCATCTAAGGTACGAACAGGAAGATCAACAATTAACGCAAACTCAAAAAGTTATCCGATTCAGTGAATGTAGCCGCTTACTGGATTGTTCCATGTCGGATTGCTCTGAATTACTCGTCCCTACCCAATAAAAACAAGAATGGTAGCGAACCAATCAAACGTTAGAACGTTAAAATAAACTTTCTTTTTCCCAATAGACTATCTTACACTAATACAAACCGTAATTGTGATTTCCTTTTGCATGATTTTCCCGTACAAATTCGAAATAGGATACAAACTTGGCTCATTCTTAAACCTTTCCGCCAAATCGGCAAGTAAATTAATCAGTGAAACCTTTGTAGCTGCGTCGGTGTTCGAAGCTGTCGCAACTTGTTCGATGTTATCCAAAAACTTCTTTGAAGCCAATTCGGCTGTGACAAGGTCGGACGTATGGTAAATGTTAGAAGAATATCAAAGTTTGGTTAACGGGCAGAAAATAAAGGATTTTTGCATTTACCATGAAATTTGGCACCGCAGTTGTCGGCTAATGATCTGAGAACCTACAAATTAATTTTCTCACAAGGTCAACTATTATTTTTTTTCCCCCGTTGTTTCTTTTTCAAAATCCCCATATATTTCATACCGTTATCGTCCGTGCTTGTACAGCAGGCGTATTTTGCGATCGCACCAGTTTCTTCCTAACGAACTTTGCTGCTTCTTTGGCACCAGAATCACTTGCGTTAACAGTATCACAGATCTTAGCGATCAATGCCCAATCATCTTCTGCTTTATTAACAGCTTGCTCTGATTCAGCACATTGGAATATGACAAGATCAGCATGTTGGAGAGAGGGGAAGGGGGAAGGAAGTATGGTATGTATAACGATCCAATTACGAGTGTCAGATGCTGACGGGGGAATTGTAAGGAATCTACCAAAAAAACCTACTTTTGCGTATATGGATAGTAACTTACCTAAATTTTCACTTATTACGGTTTTGGATCTGTCAAAGATACGCATTTTGTTTATCTGTCTATTAAAAATGGGGAAAGCTTAGCTTTTTATATCGAAATGACTTGCCAAACCTTTAATAAATGTGTCACTAATAAGACCCAAAGACGCCAAGTTGATGGCGTAATGGAGACGAGTCTCCGTACATGATTGATATGTTGACATTAATAAAATTCCTTTCCTTACGAATTAGTGGAATCTATCTACAGAGACAACAGTAAATACCAACCTTATTAAATAAATTAAATTCGCCACTATGACTTAAGTGTTCTTTTGTTTGTTCTAAACGATAACAGAAAATATATAATAAGGACGGCTCGACCGACCCAAAGCTTATATATATGTATGAATAAATAAAAATCCCTATTCGTCCAGGATGGGAATGTTAAATGTTGCACAAAAACATTGCGGGTAAGTCATGAAACTTGGCAGGTTTGGGATGTGACTGCGTATAGAATTTGCAACGAATGAGAGCAGAGATCTAAATATCAAATCGGTGCATTTTGTTCAGGGGTTCAAACATAATGACTAGTATGAAATTACCATATGTCATATCGAAGTTCGATACGTCACACGCCATCAAAATGGGAATTTTGCTTGCTTTGGCACTTGATGTTAATGTTAAATTTCTGCATCCGGAGCTTTTTAGTTGCAGGGAATGAAGCATAATCGAAGGCGTATTCAGAATATTGTCTATTCAGTCGGATTGTAACGAGGAATCAGTTGGATATCTCTTTATGAGCGCGCAAATTGGATCGATCAGGTCAATGCATTAAAGTACAAGAGAAGCAAATCGAACAACAAGGCAATTGCTTTCCATGAAATACTAAAGTTGTTCAATATATCCTAGAGGGAAAAGCAAAACAACCTACAACATAAAAAATAGCCGAGAAGCCGTAAAATACTTGAATGGATACTGGTATTGGCCCGAAAGTCGTGCCAAGTATGTTTTTCGCTCCTTGTCCTTTTTGTGTTGCAATTGAATTGGTCACGTGTTTTTAAAATATATAAAGATGCCCACCTTCCAATTATTAAAAGTTCTTCCTAGCCAACTATTATGATGGGATTCTGATGCGTTAGAGATAAACTGGAGTATTGATATTACTATGAATGTACCAAAGTGTGCAAGAAATAGAGGCCCAAGTGATTCCGAAATTGTCTGATAGTGGCCTTTGTAAATATCCTTCTAATCGACTGATGAATCAGTTTAGAAAGTTTTCATTATGTGGCGCAAAGTATTTATTAAGTATTAAGTAACAACATCATATCAATATTCACAATCTTTCAATTACAGCTTGTTGACATAACCCCCAAACGCGCGTCAATCCCAATTATTAGGGAACGATCAATACTGTGCTGATTCCATAGTGGTCTGCGAGCAAGGGAAGGAAATCATTAGCATGGATGGTTACTCTATCAGTAACAGGGGAGAAAACTTTTCCAACACTTACCAGAAATCTGAGAAAATTCAAAACTCTCATCAGTCGAAAATTCCTCAACTTTAGTATTCTTTATATCGATCTCTACTGTGTCATCATCACCATCCTCTTCCACCTCGTCCTGATTTTTCAATACAAGCATATAATCCAAACAGCACTGTTTTCCCTGTCGATGTTTGGCTGTTAATACATTTTCGCGTGGTTGAGAATGACCACCTTTGGTAGGCGCAACGCCGGAATACGTGATGGGATGTTCAGAATAGGTTTCTTTCAGAATATCGCGGACAATGAATGGTGTAGAAGAAGCATATCGAAGGCCAGCAATAGAGAACCGTGGGTTGGCATAGTTTGCAGGGATGCCCTTTCCAGAAAGAATTTTTTGTATCAAAAGATATTCTCTGCTATCTTCTTGGTTATCAATAAAGTCGCTGTCTAAAATATAACTCATCGCACTCTTGTCATCGTCCAGACTAGTATTTTTCTCGCCAAGGTCACTATTACTATTTTGTTTCTTACTATAAATAGTCCTACTCTTTTCACTCATTTTATCGTCATCCCCGTCGGTCCTTCTCCCATCAATGTTCAGATCGCCAACAACCATCACCATCTCGTTTGGCTTGCATTCGTGCATTGCTCTACACTTGTCTACAAACTGCCTCAACTGATGAACTTGCTGTAACCGTATGCGAACGTTGGCATCGGATAATGGGGGATGCGGATCACAAGAAGATTGTAGCTGCGTTACGAATAGATGAATCGAACACGTAGGCTTTACGGCTATCTTTGCGTAAAGAGAACCCTTGGCAACAAAACTAGAAGGTATAGAGTGTGGGGAGTGAGTAATGTAAATGGATACCCGGTTTTGACATTCAAACTTTTAGAGATTATCTGCAACTCGTAATTCACCAGCCCTATCTATTCATCTTGCTTTCCATGTACATATGTACTTACCGATCTCCCTGACACTCAAAAACCATCTCTTCTGAATCTGTTATGGGAAACCTACTCAATATCAACAGTCCACCGTCAATCATTCCCTTTGTCAATCTAGCCTTGCTCTTTAGCACATGTCCAAAGCCACTCTCCTTTGCAGCACTGATCAACCTTTTTCGTCGCCCAGTTCCGAATCCATGCATCTCTTGAAGACATATAATGTCATAGTTTGGCAGGATATTTGCGATGAAATAATTCAGACGGTCTGCTTTGTACGGAGTGTTTGTCATTAGTGGTTGTAGAAAGATGTTGAGAGAGAGTAATTTTACTGTGGTTGAGTTGGCCGCATTTGTCGAGGAAGGTGGAGTTTTGGTTATTATAGAAAGAATTGGAGCGACAAGGTGGGTGGGTGAAGGTGGTGTTTGAGGTGTTTGCGGTCTTTCTTCAGGATCTGTTGTTTGAGTCATTGTGAGTTGTAAAAAGACAAAAGTTCACTCGTTTTTTTTGAATACCTTCGGTTATTATATATCATTTCTTCGGATCATGCATGGGATATTGAAATTACAAATATTTGGTTCCTTGTTACGCTTTCCTGCATATCTGCTTTGTTACATGCGCTGTCGCTCTTATTTTTCGCGCGAAATGAAAAATATTTGACAGTGTGCGACTGAAGAAACGGGATAGACATGAAATTTTGATCTCCCGTTGGCGCGTCGTCTGAAAAAGGAAGTCACACGAATTCGAGAAAAGCCACAACACCAATCCAATTGTACTAATTATTCCATTTGCATTAGTTTGAGACGTGCGAAACTGGTTACACTTAATCTGTACAAATTATACAAGGCCCATTTAAAGAAGGGGTGTACGCTTTTACTAAGAATAATATTCTTTACCTTACTATTACTATTACTATTAGCCGTTCAACATACGTTTGGATGATGGGAACGTAATACCTAAACAGGGAGTTGTGAGAAAAAAACCCAACTTGTGGTTTTTAAACAAAGACGTCTTAGAATTGAGTTTGTTGTACAAATACAAAACTTTGTTAACAAGGTAGGCATAGTAAACAAATTGTCATTGAGCTTTCACAGCATGTTGTTCACTGATAATTGGTTAACGGCTTTAGCCAATGCAAGCACTACGAACAAGTTTTTTGAGTGACAATACGAACAAGATCAAGCCTTGCAGAGCTTGCAGAGCTTCAGTCGGTAATGCTGTTGCCAGACCTGCATGAATCTTTACGAGTAGTAAAGGGTATGGAATGTAGAGCTGTTGCAAGACTTGCATAAATCTTTGCGAGTAGAGACATTGACACATGAGCGACCATACATTCATTAAAAACAACAATGGCACGTTGTGGAAGACGTAGCATTCATAATCACAAATAACGTTCTTTATTCGAACAATTTGTAAATTAAAAATTAAACTAAAATGTTTTTACTATACAAGGAAATTGTTTGCCATATTCATCAACTATGTAAAATATGATTGTTTATGTAAACTTATTATCATATTGGCAACTGTATAATGCGATGAGAAATGTGGCGCAGTGGAAGAGGGTTATTTACAAACACAAATGAAATTGTAACACGAAATTGTCATTATTATTTATGTAATAATAATAATAATAACAACGGTAACAGTAATAACAATCACTTAATCAAATTATTGTTATTATTATGCCCATCATATTATCAGTCAAATTAGGATTATAATTTGGTAATTTTTGTAAGCCATTTGTTTTATTCATTCAACAGCTGAAAATTGTTAATTGTATATACGGTAATGGCTAATAATGTTATTTTCAGAAAGGTTACCTGATGAATCATGGACAACACCCACGTTGCTTAATCATATTAAATTGGTCAACAATCAACGGTAATTTGGGTTGTTACCCTGCAAAACGTGACACCTGTGTGAAAATAACAAAGCAACCTACGCGTTAACTTGTCAACCGTCTTTCTTCACAATGACGGTAATTTTGCAACCGAGAAACAAGGGAGTAATTGTAATGATGGAAGGAAACCCAATGTGTGCATGATCGCGGTATTGTGTCCATAGACAGACACACTCCATAATGCATGTTCCCATCCTTGTTCGCTGGGAAAAACTACAAGGCATGGCAAAGAAAGACCTTATTCTCAACGATAACTGTACTTGGTTAAATTATTCGGATGAGAATTTGTACGCATGTTGAGAATAAGTAAAATAGTCTGCAAACCCCTTCTAACAGCACGGCGTTCATCGAAATGAATCTTAATACATCACATCACCCATCCCTTATTAGACGTGCATAGTGTTGAGGATTACAAGTGACTTATGCGTAGTAGATCAAAAAGTACGTATGCGCTATTACATAACTATTACTGACTTTCATTTTACAAGTATGCGGTGACACATGCGACTATATTATGTACTGGCCGAAGTAACACTTGCAGCAAATTTTCGAAAGTTCTAGTATAACCGTATACAGTCACACGAATATTGAGGTCAAAAGATTGAAATGGCTCGTATTATGATGGCATAGTACACACCCCCGAAGCATCAGATAAACCCGTACAGAAAAAAGGCACGGCATCGTGACACCACACATACAGTGCATATCCGCTCATATTGACCTCACCCCACCCCACCCCCCTCCCCACATCCACCTCCTTTCCCCCCCCCCTTCCCGTACGAAGCACACGATTGCTTTTAATCAATACGCTACGTCACACAAATGGCCGGCGGGGATATTACGAAACACACACTCCCCCACCATAATGAATATTGACTTACTGAACGTTGAATAGAACAAGAATTGTCTGCAGATGCAATCTAAATCGAAAACTTTTTTTCTGGAACTGTTGGAAAGAAAGTTCCATAAGTATTGAACAGGACCCAAGTCTGCGGAATCTATTTACTAAAACAACAATCCCTTCCGGTACAAAGAATAAGACGTTTTTTGTATTATATGATCGAAGAGAGAAAAAAAAAAAGATACAAACGCATACGAATTCTCAGAGACATTCTCTGATTATCACTGAATTCTTGAAATAGAGCATCACTAATACGCGCTATCGAACGTGATGCGACTTGTTAATCGGGGGAGTTAAGGATGCAAAAGACTGGCGAAAGAAAATATTCAAAAGCCTTTGGAAATCTTCATTCACAATCCACAATTAGGGGATTTTTTTACATCTGGATGTTCTTTTTGTCTTTCTTCTTATTCTAGTGGGGGAAAAAAAAAATCTTTCATCCTGTTCCCGCTGAATAACATTAAAAAAATAAATAAATAAATAAATAAAGCCCAGTATTCAATTTGTGTGGTTTAGCACCCTAGTCGGTTCAAGGTTCCGATATTAACTTTAACTTTTGCCCCCCTCCAACATCCCGATAAAAAAAACCTTGCCCCGCCAACAAGCTTACCTTGGTAACAAACGTTATGCATAGTCGTATACGCTTTGACTTGCAAATTCGGTCTCATCCGGAAGCAAAAGATTAGACAAGGCCATTACAGATGGACTTTTACTGTTTGGTTTGGAATTCCTTTCAATAGTACCGCTTGCTCCTGAACTTAATCCGCCAAAGTTGTTAATAACATTATTATTATTGACGCCGCTAATACCGTTGAAATTATTGACTCCAGTCATCCCATTCATTCCACCACCGCCACCGCCGCCGCCAAAATACAACGGCGATGATGACTCCCATCGTCCGTTAGCCAATCGACAAAGCTGTGCGGCTGCAACAACTACCTCGGGATCAAGTTTTGCCTGCGATAATGCTGCATCGACTAGAGTGTTTATATCAAACCCAGAATTATCATATGCTAAGAAGGTAGATTGCGATTGCGTAGAAACTGATAATGCAGGCTTGTAAATGTGATCGGATGGAGACGATAATTTCGTATGGGAAGAAGAGAGAGTAGGGGAGGAGGCAGGCGTGGATAGAGAGGGCGAGGAGGAAGGGGAAGAAGAGAGGTGTGGAGGAGTGGCAGTATGCGGTGGCGGAAGGTGCGAAGTTGCAGCCGAAGTCAGCGAAGAGGAAGCTGGAGTATGTAGGACTGAAGAGGCAAGAGAAGTGCTGAATGAAGAATTCGACCCTGCTGGCTGTGCGTGAGGTGAGCGAATATCGGGTTGTGGGAAAACTCGTGTTGTGTAAGAGTTCGCCATTTTAGTGTTGTATTCAATTCTCCAAGTAATTGATTATTATTGTCGGTATGCTCTGAAAGAGATAAACCAATTCCGTTGATAGAGTAAAAAAAAACAAACCGAGACTTGCACTTTTTTTTTCCCCTAAAAATCTGTTGTTCCCCCTTTTATTTAAAGAGGGTCGATGTGTATTTCAACAAGTTCTTGGTAAATTATGTGGGAATAATGGGTTTTTATAGTTGCTTTAAAACTCGTCTTCTCTGAGATAGTAACGATATTAGGTAATTACAAATGTAATGGTATTTGATTTATGATGAGAGTGTAAGCAAAAAAAGGGGAGGAAGAAAAAGCCTAGTGCACACAAAAAAAGACAGTCTTATAGCGATCCCGTAATTTACGTCAGGGATTCTTCCAAAGGCAACTTGTGTATTCGGTTGAGATCTTCGCAACGACTACAGTACACATTGGATTCCTAATAAACAGTTCCTACTCAATTGAATGCGATAAATATGTTGCATACAATAGCCACCACCACATACTCGTGCTATGGTCTGACTCGATATGGGAGGACGGCTGACGTATTGTTCCGGCTTGCACGTGGAGTCGTTTCCGTTTCAGATTGTTGTGGAAATGGTTTCGAAAAGTCTGTTTGAGATTGTTTAAACCCGTTTTAAGGATGGTTTGGGATAATAAGCGGGGATGTAAAAGACGGTTGTTAGTGTAGTGGACAAATATATAGATGATAAGAGTAAGGTACGGTATCAATTGTTTGGGGAGTGGGGGAACGTTGGAAGGGAATGTATTGATAAAATGAGTTAGTGTGTGTCGATCGTTATGACGAGTCTGATAGTAATAGGGTGAAAGGTGGGGGGGTGGGGATGGGGTGATTATTATGATTATGACCATGATTATGAACTGTTTTCATTTAACATAGCCACTTTGAAGATACTGAATATTGAATCGCCGATGACAAAGTTAATTGCTCGGAATTACTTTCATAGTTGATAGTTGCACTGCATCGTTACCGCATTACTGTTTGTGTTGTTGATACACAATTGACACAATCGAAACGACGCATTCGAATAAATCAGATGAGTTTTATCAATAACACTTAATGCTCCTGTTGGTTTATCAATTATGCACCTGCATCTATAAACTCAACTGTATATAACATGGGATAAACGACTTCAGGGGTTCAAATGTTATACCCAACAACAGCTCTTGTATGTTTTCGTTGTGTATGTGGGTGAGTGGGGGTTTTTATCCGAGTATATAAGCCTGCCTATATGCGAATGCAAAGCCAAAAATATGAGCAGATTTATAAAATTTGCGCAACACAAAAACCATTGGAAGAAAAAAGTATATGTTGACAACTGTGTTGAGAGTGTGTATTAACTAGATAATGATGCAATTTTTTATATTCGTTAATCCTCTATAAAATGCACGCACTATGTAAATTCCTTTCAAAAAATGAGGGTCGTCTGCATCTACTAATTTCCACATTAAATTTTTACCTGCAAAAAGTATGCTGATAGTATTGCGATTAACATTTAAAGGTTGCCAGAAAGTTTTAAACGGGCGTTTTCGCCACCAATTCAATAGCGTGTTCCTGGTTAATGAACATGCTAGTCTCGTGCTTCTATTGCACGGTCGAACGTTGGATATCTATCTACTGCAGACGGTCACCCACGTAGACGGTTAAGTTTTCGATATTCGCGTGCAAGTTTCAAATTTGGAAACATGTCAATTGCTCTTGTATGTTGACCTTAACAAATATAGCAAGTTTGTATCGCTGACACGTGAATTATGATGCAACTACTCTAAACACGTAATAAAATGCGCGTCAATCGAAAACTGCTTTACCCACACTTGCATAATAAATCTTGTCGGTTTATGTGTTGTTGGGAGCATTGAATTAATACAAATATAATCAAATAAACCGAAAAAACGTTTCCTTCATCAAAATTAACCTATGCAGCGTTATTCTCACTTTCAGAACCAGGAATACCCGAGTACACGGCAATTTCGTTGTTCGCTGGATCAACTGCAAAAAGTCTTCCAATACCATGTCAACAGAGCTTAAATTCTTCTGCAAAAAACGATTTATATTACACATTTAACGTTTATTTAAACTTGAAAATTTAGATCGTGGCAAAACGCAAACTTTGATCCCGTCAATACTCACGGTTCAGATAACAACCACCAACCTAACATATCTAACGTGATTTATCAATATTGAAAATAACACCCTTGTTCTCTGCTAAAGTTTATATAATAGAGCAAGTAATTAGTAATTATAAATGGTTACATGAGTTTAGAGCATCAAAGGGAGCAAGCATCTGTAGCTTTGATACTGTCCAAATATACGCGTCAACCAATGCATGAAATACGTATTTTTAGATAGCAATAGTTTGGCACTATTACAGCAGAGTGGTCTCACTATGAAGATCTGATCAATATAGCAACCGGGACGTTATAAAGTACAAGGTCCAAGATAATTCCTTTGTCTTTTAGTTTACCAACATGACAATGGGCTGCTTATAACACCAGCTTCTCGGGGGAGGTGGCACCTAGATACGTAAGATTCGTATTGTTGTCTTATACAACAATATTATCTCGAGGGTTTGCATATAGATACGCAATAGTTTCTGTAATTTTAGGCCAGCTTGTAATGATCTTCGTGTTGGGTATTCATTACTGGACGGCAAATCTAAACAATACATGCGGCGTCTAACTTCCCCGTATAGAGTGTTTAGCCTAATTCGTCGGCATGCACACATATAGGATAGATAGCTTGCTACCTATCCTTCCTCTTTAGTTATCTGTGTTGGCGCGTGACATGCTAAAACGACCAAGTCGTGTGTGTGTGATCCGATTAAGAATATCTATCTATCTAACGATATTTCGTTCCTGTTTTATTTACAACCAAAAATGAAACCATTGTAATAATAACATGTAATGATATAATAATAATAATATTTCGTAGTACACAGAACCGCAGAGAATTCAGACAAACCCATCCCCGCGATCCGAGTACATATATATATTTAACCTTGGATAACTAATATAATAAATTTACATAGTATTGGCTAATATGAAAATAAATCGACAAAAAAAAATGCATCGATACACACTGATACACTGATACATTCATCTCTAAAAAGCGATCATAAAATTAATCGTTCTATCTTTCTTTTTCATCACCCTGTCTATTTCCCACCAAAACCCACCATTTAAGCCTTCGTCTTGGTAACAACGTTAAACAACATGCTCTCATAAAAAGCAAACAAGCCCACGACTGTGGCACCCACATAAACAACAACATCAGGTATGTATTGACGAACGTCTTCACTCCAATCAAAATTCCCCGAAGAAACAGCCAACATCGCGCCCTGTGCCACAGCAAACGCGAGTGGATTGTATGATAACCGAGACGGTTCGAAATTGAAGATATAAGAAAGCAGGTATGGGGTAAAGACTAGGAAAGCAAAAAAGTTTAAAAGTGGACGCCAGAATGCGTGCCAGTCTAAAAGGACCGAGAGGTCAGGACCGGGAAAATAAGAATCGTCAACTGGATTTGGGATGGCCTTTGTGAAACAAAAAACGGTTAGTCGGTTTGAACTTGACAAGGTTGTATATATACGGATTACAGTACGAATTGCATCTGTATTCCCAAAATACTTACTTCTGCTTTCCATTCAATCACAGAATATAAAAAAATCGCTATTTCTGTAACCAAAAAGGCTTTAACTAACGACTGGGAATCCGTTACCTTCTGTAATTAACCAAAAAGAAAAATTAATTTTTAATTCAAATTCTCTTTCACACCACACACAATGACCTTATCATCCACACTCGCAAAACCCCAATTTCTCCTTTCACTTTCCATATATCCTTCCCGCCCTTTTCCCTTTAAAGTCGATCCACGAACCTGGCGCATATTATCAGCAATGCGTTGAGGTGAACTCAACATTAAATAACTTTTTAGAGATTCCAATGGTGATACACTTGCCGGCTTGGGTTGTGTTTCTCTAGGAATTGGCGTCACTTGTGAATTTTCTACTACTGATGGCTGTGGAATTGTCCCTTTCGGAACATCCTGGATTTCCTGTATTAATGTTGGTTTTAGATTAAGTAAGGAAAAGACTGATTCAGGAAGTACAATTCATTAGGTAATTACCGGTTTTTCAGTAGGCACCTCGAAACCTTCAGATCTTTGGAAATAACAAGACAAGTTTAGCAAATAAATTATCGGTTCAAATGGTGCTATGGACAAATTACGGTTCTATAAAAAACTTCCTTGAACCAACTATACTATACGTCTCTTCTTTCATACCCGTTTCCATTCACCGCTTCTTGATGTGCTGGGGGAGGGAAGTTGCGACCAGACCGACGACGTGCTGGAGAAGCGTCTCCCACTGTGTGATTGATGGTGGGCTGTTGGCTCAAGCAGTATAACCTGAGTAATTGAATGACGTAATGCATGCAAAATTAGGTAAATTGAATAATATCTAGTATTCTAAGCAATTGCTCTTATGAATCAGCAAAGCAAAGCATATAAAACACAGTTTGATTTAATTCTCCCTTTGCCAACTCACTTGATCCTGTTCTCCAAGTCAGTTTTAAGACCGGTTGTAGCTAAGCCCAACGTGGATGCAATCTCTGTAGATGTAGAGTTGACGTTTATTATTATTACGCCTTTTACTTGTAGTGATGTTTCGTCGTTTGCTATGTTCTCTAAGACATATTCAAGACAGAATTTATTTACTTACCAATCAGGTCATTCTTCTTCTTAGCTCTCAATCCGTTAATTGAGAAGGGAGGGTTAGATGCAGTTGTTGGAGCCATCTATAGTTTGTGGTTATATGCAGTATCGGAAACAAGTGTATGTGATGGAACGAGGATGTGTTCGAATGAACTTTTCTATGTTCTGTTGCGAGTAGAGTACTCGATTATAACAGTGAACGAAGCGTAGATTGCGGTTGTAAGAGTAAGAACAAGAATAGTGCTTTGTTTTTTTGGGGGTGAGGCGAATGAGAGGATGCGGATTTACGTAACACGACGGGGAATCGAGTAAATTTGGCTGTGAAAGCGACATGTCACACTGCATGTGATCTTGATATATATATGATATGACAAACAATATGATTAACAATATACAGATTCAGCTCGTACTAATACTAATGTTAATGTAAATTAGGTTTCCAGAAGAGCTAACTGTATATGTCATTTGAGTATATTAATATATGATGGGGTATGTGCGTGACTTACTGGTTTTTGGAATAACAAATAACATAACCACCTCACAAGCCAACTAACTACCATACTTTTCGAGGACGTTTGGCGAAACTGTTAGAAAAGCCTTACATCCGAGGAATTTTATGGATCAGCGCATGCTAAATCTTTAATTGGACGTATTTTTTTATTAGCGCATTCGTATCGAAAATATTATTACATCATCGCACATCACATATGTATGTTCCACAACCCGTCTTTGTCGTTTTTTTCTTTCTTCTTTTTCTTAGGGTCGTCAGGGTCTAGTGTAGAGATTCTTCTCCGAATGCAAACAATATCCAACGTTTATTGACGCTTTAACGTATTCCATCTGCTTTTGCCATTTTTATTTGGCGTTATTAGACTGTCTGTCAGGAATTCGAAGACTTGAATTCGTTAACCAAAATTCCTTGGCTGCATCTTACGATTGTTATCAATTTTGTGAAGATGACATCCATCTCCGGCCGCAATTTATTCTAACAAACTTTGAACAAGCTGCCATTAACGCTGCTCGTGTGGAGTTTGCAATAAAGGCTGTCATTTTCATTTGGCACAGAATATTTATCAAAGAATACAAATATCTGGTCTCAGACTTATGCTTACTTGTGCGACACATTCGCCACCTGATGAAAAAAAAAAAAAAAATTACTGCAGCATTTGACGAATTAAAAGACAATATTCTAATGGGTGATACAATAAGGCGTATATCAAGGAATGGAAATGTAATTCGAGCTTTGCCCTTATTTCCACCCGATTTTTGGTCCCTCAAAATTCGGCATCGCAAGTGTCTTTAAAATTATAAAAAAATACAATTTAAGTTCAGCATGAGATAGAATTAATTGTACAAACTTATATACGTGAAATGCGAATTCAAACAGCCTTTAATAACCGTTGCAACAGGTCACTCGTGGAATTTCTTTTGAGGTATTACGTTTGGTGTGATTATTCTAAATGTAAATAAATTGGTGTTGTTTTTATAGTAAAAGTTCTTTTATTCATCGTATTCATTACAACAAACGCAGCAGCTCTAGAGGTCCACCTTAGCTGTGCTTAATAAAAGACACACAAAATCACTACAACAAACGCGAATTTCTGCGCATCAATTACAATTATCATTGGTCACACTCTGTCAAGGTCTAGAAAGTTCCTCACGTCATTGATTAAGCCAGTGATCAGATTAGTATATTAGTATCATGGCGTGTATCGAAGAAACGCGACAAGAACTGAAGAATGCAAAGAAGGAAAGCGTTGGAGAGGGAGAAAAGGAATATTGTTACGGAAAAGAAAAAACTAAAAAGAGAGAAGAGAAACCCGCCTGAGGCAAGTGGAAAAACTGCAGATAAAAAACACTACTGCTACTTGTGTCAACTTCTATATATGGTACATATAAGTTTTAGGTTATAAAAAACCATAACAATATACAGTGTGTTACGAAGAAAAAAAAGCAAAAGAACTACAGTCAGACCTCTCATGAAGAATATTTTATCATGGAACGATCTACAAAAACAGCTGTTTTTACTTATTGCTTTGGGTTTAGTTTGGCTTTAACTACTTTGCCGTTTGCTATTTATTTTGCTGTTTCTTCTGGAATTTCTTTACTTTATCTTCTCTTTTTCACGGACTGTTTCTTAATTTAGCTTATTTTTCCCTTCTAGTTCCAGCCCTTTTTTATATATTCTGGTGGTTCGCTGATCTGCATATGACACAATCGTTCATTGGCTATGCGCTACTTTTCTCTACTATCGCGAGGGACTTTTATTCACAACAAGGTGCTCGCTAAAGCCCAGTTTTATCTATCTACAATACATGCAGAGGAAGAGAATAAAGTCCTAAATTGGCGTTGATCTGTGTATTAAGGGAAGGGGGAGATGTATCTAGCCTTGGAGCAGGTAATAATGGAGAGGATGTTAGTAGGGTTTATCCAAGGAGTTAGAGAATCTATGTGTAGATCTAGCGTACGGAGAAAAAGAAGACGTCCTAGGAGTTGGTCGAGTATGTGAGAAATGGATGATGTGGGGTTGTGCCCAAAGGCTCTTGAAGTGAAGGCATTCCACATTGTGAGTATGGCTGCAGACTGGAGAGAGCGGAGAAGACGGAGTTGTTGTGGGGTGAGAGAGGGGTCAGGAGTATGAGGGGGGCGCTACTTTTCTCTACCCAAACTAGTATCGGGCCACCTCGATTATCACGTGCGCACTTTTTTGTCACTCGTCACTTATGGTTTGGAAAATTCTGTTGACTGTGTCATTTTTCAGGGCTTTTTATTTTCGCGATTTAGTTCCATTTGAATTCGACGTTTTAAACAAAACACCTATGGTGCGAAAGTAAACGCGGTTTTATCAATTTATCATGGGTGAAATACTGAGCTTTTGTCCTTTTTTTCATTTATAAAGCAGATGCATGAATATTTTAATCGAACATTTTCCGAGTGGAACATTATAGACTTCCTAGACGTTTGCGATCTTCAAGATTTTGGTCAGAAGATAGGGATTTATCTTAAGTCTCTTGAGGACATCTCTTGTTCTAATAAAGGGCAAAGAAGCAAACAAGCAAAAGAATTGCTTAAGAGATATAAAGAGGCAAGTTAATTATTATTATTTTACTTATATAGAATTTGGTGGCATGGTAGAGGATCTTGGGTCTTGTACCATTCAAGTCTATAGGGTGAGCCATGAAGTTAGTGTTGGGGCGGAGGCAATCTAGAGGGCTGTCTTATGTTTAAGACTAAAGGTTGATCAGCACTAATACCACTGGGGGGAGGCAATCTAGAGGGTTGCCTTACTTTAAAGACTAAAGGTTGACCTGGTGGAATGAGAAATTAGGTTGGAGCCGAAGACATGCATAATGAAGAATATTGTTATCCATGTAACCCTTTGAATCTAGGACAATAAGCCTGATTTTTTTTTATTATAAATATACAATTTATTTTCTATCGTCGAAATAATTGATTATTAGGCCGGACACTCCAATAAGCGGCTCACTTAAGCTGTAACGGAATAGAATTGATTTGATCAAGCTAGTAAGCTGTCCGTGGATCAATTACGTGAATAACGGAACGAGAGTTCATAGTTAATTATTGAGACGAATATTGTTTAATTAGTTTAGATAGAGCAAGTGACGGATACCGACTAGTCGAAACACAAATCGAAGATAGCCCTATTTAAAAAATTTAAAAATATTATTATTCCCCTTGATTCTTTAGTAGAATAATTGTTGTTATTATTTTATTAGAGGTACCCTTATTTTATATTCACAAATGTTTGAAACTCGGATAGGGAGTGAGAAGCGCGCATAATTAAATAGGTCACTTGAGTTCAGTCTTAATTGCACAACTATCGTAGTAAGGGCGATAGTACGAGCTAAGCCTGATAACACCCCCCGGTCGGCGAACACACCTACACGAAAGATAAATCGCTTTCCCAAAAACCCCATTTATTACCCGACCGTAACAGTTCTTTCCCACTCTTCCACTATAAATGTCTCTAATTCACTAATGTTTTTTGACATGCACTTCTCTATTCTGGTTTTACAATGTTCCAGAGATTCTCAATTGGATTCAAATCCGGACTGTTGGATGACCAATCCATTTTTTCTGGAACATTGGTGGTGGAAAGAAACGCCTTAGTGACACGGCTAGTATGCTTGGGATTGTTATCTTGTTGAAAGTGCCATTTTCTTTTCCCAAGCAACTGCTGCACTTCTGGCATGTGGTTCTGGAGGATTTCAACATAAAACTCACCATCCATGATCCGGCGGAAGCAGAACAAGGATTATTTGCCTTTCACACAAAACCCTCCCCATGCCATAATTTTTGTTCAGTCTTTCGGCATAGGGCGAACTGGCTGTGCAATCGTTCCACTGTGTTTCGAACAGTTGAAATGCTGTCTCATCAGTAAAAAAAGTCTTTTTCCAATTGTCGTTTAGATGGTCACGTGCCTACTCCACACGTTGAGTCTGTAAGCATAGGAGTCGCCTTGGGAAGACTTTTGAGTATTCAAGTCGTGCAAGGTGTCTTGAAATGGACGTGGATACCCTTATTTCCAATTTTGTCGCCAAAGTTCTGGTAGGAATTGAACTATCTCGGCAATAAATTGTCCAATAGCCCGCGAAGCATTAACGGTAATCTTTCTTGGACGACCACTTCCCTCAACGCGCTTGATTGTTTCTTTTTCTTTAAGTCTTTTTATGTTGCGATATATGATGGCGGGTGGGATGTTTGTGCGTGCATGCAATTCCTTGCAATCACGTACACCTTCGTCCATAAATGTAATATTACTTGCCGCTGTTGTTCTTGTTTCGAAATGTACAGTAGGATGCAAAAGTATCCCCCCACTTCTAATTCGGGACACGAATGAGTAAATGCTTTGAAAGTTTCCCTGTATATAGTGTATAATAAACCTTGATCACTTGTAAAATTTCAGCTTGATCTCTAAACACCAACGTTTTTACCATGACATATTTCGGGGTTCAGTCATAAGAGTTCAAAAATTCATATCTCAACACTTGTCTAACCACATTTTTTTATTTTGTTCCTCTGCACCATCGAATTGCATTCATGTAATTTTAGAACAAATTACTGTGTGATCTCTACTACAAAATACAAACAATTGTGCGGCATAATAAGACTTATAAAGATCGTTCACGTGTCTTGCCAAGTATAATAGCGATTTCGACTACCACATCGAAAGAAATACGTAGGAATTGGTTTGATAAACAAACAAAAAAAAGATATGGAGATATGGATTTTTGAAGTATAAATTGAATAAGCGATGTAGGGTTTTTATATTAATATGCTTTTATATGTTTTTCATATGTTTTAGAGGCAAATATTAGATGTTTGTAAATTTTTTACTGGAGACATCCGATCAAACCGAAATTTTACAAGTGATCAGGGTTTATTATACACTATATACAGGGAAACTTTCAAAGCATTTACTCATTCGTGTCCCGAATTAGAAGTGGGGGGATACTTTTGCATCCTACTGTACGGTGTGTTGCAAAAAAATGAGATTTTTTTTACGTAAAATAAAATGCTTGTATCTCGATCTAGATGCATCAGATCTAAAAAATGTAAATAGGAAATAATCGCGATTATCAAGAGTAAATTTAAGCAGCGTTTACGCATTGTTTTCATTGTACACTCTTTGAGTTTACCCAACTCGTGATGTATATATACTCTTCCAGACATTGATGACTTGTTAAGAGATGAATGGCGTTTCAATAAGACAATGACCTAAAACATACTAGCTGCCACTAAAAACTTTCTTCGGGATAACATGCCTGAAGTTATAGACTGGCCTTTCTAACAGTCTTGACTTAAATCCAACAGAGAATCTCCGTAATGATGCCGAAAAATATTGGTGATGATATTCCACAATTAACCCTAATTGGTTAGTACGATCATAGAAAGTAGCGGTGAACGCATTCCATAATAAAATTTTTTTAAATAAAATCCGCTTTCAAATGGTATAAAATTCATCTTATTTGCACCATTGATTCTTGCGTAATGTGTAATTTTGTAATTACGGATTTTTTTGGTCCCACACTGTATATTATAATTAAGGACGTGGAAGGGTTTGACGAAAATGGTTGCTCCTCTGAGAAGTCACAAAGAAATGCTTATTACCCGACATAGGAAATAAGTAACCTTGTTTAAGTTGTAACAGACAACGCAGAACCTGCTGAATGTTTTTTTCTTAGTAGCTGTTTAGTCGCGGGAAGCAATCATTTCACCGACAATCATTTCACCGACAAATATTTACCAACATTATTTCGAATTTATCCTTTTTTAGTAGTTAATTGTCGGTGAAATGTAATGAAATAATACCATGATTTGTGTTACACGGTTGCCTACAAGTTTTTACTAGAACATTGTTGGATTCCATTATATATAATTCTTATTCTATAAAATATGGGGAATTTGGATAGTGGGATATTGGGGATAATAATCTGAGTGGGATACAACTGAGAAATTTATATGAAATTAGAGGAAACAAATGAGAGTGCAATAGAGATTTTCGATTTACAAGTTTCAAGTGGTCCTAAAATTTTGACCGGAGAGTATACTAGTTGTAACAAGTAACACACGGATTGTAACTGAAATAAAGTTATCATGTCGAAAACCACAATTCAATTAGGAAAGTATTAATGTTATGAGAAAACCAGTTTGTCTAATAAGCATACATAACGAAGTTGCACAACCAATTGACGAAATGTTTATCATATGAAATTGATGTTTGCTATTAAATATCGATATTCTCTCCATTCATTTGATTACAAAAAAACAAAGAAAGTTTGATTTTAAAAGATGGAACATCTCCAGACTCTTTCGGTTGATTATGCAAATGGTACATTTTGCAAACGAAATAAATAAACATACCAAGAGCAACAAGACCGGCGATACCAATCAACGCTCTGACCAAGATACCAAAATTATTTGTTACTTGCACTATATTAGAATTGTCGTCACTCTCGCTAGCAGGCGAGGGCAATGAGACTGTTGTTGTTGAACGTGGCAATAAAGTCGAAGAAAATACACTATATACAGACATTGTTATATGCAAATATGTTATATTCAACAAGTATCGAATATTAGCAATTTAATAAAGATGTTTTACATAAAAGATAAGAAATACCTTTGCTTTGTTGTTGTCGGCAGACAAGTCGTTGTCCGCGTTGATTGAAAAGCCCGCCTATAAATTACAAACATATTACCACATATTGTAAGAACTCACACGTATTCTTCTTTTTATTTTCTTACCGGAAAATACAGGAACATTCCTGAAAATATGTTCCATCAGAATGACCGATTGGAACAGAATAGGTTCCAATAACAATACAGAGACCGAAAACAACCGCCGCAAAGTATTTGTTTATTATTGCCATTATGAATGGAATAGTACCCTCTGTTCCGTTAAAAAAGATTATGTATAAAGAGACCTCTTCTTTTCAAGAACGGTTATATTTTTGCCAAGAACAAGCGACGTGGAAGTCAACTATGGAATACATACAGTTATAAGTTATGTGACCTTATCGTCAAACCGAACAGATGTTCTATAATCAATACCAGCGAGAAAAATTTGTCTGTCCTAGTTTTTAAAGAATACGGCCGATTGAACGATCGGGTGGTGTAGTAGCGGAGTAGTGGGGTTGAGGAGAAAGCATACAATTATAATCACGGTAAACGTAGCAACATTTCCTTTTTAAACTAGTTATGAACATATTTATTTATTTATGTATGTTCTCGTTATCATTCGATAAATATATCATGGATCGACAATATTTCTATCATTCGATGATGGATCGACAATCATTTCACCATATTCACCAACATGATTGTCGACATTCTTTTACATTGTTAAGTGTTCTTCTTCATAATATGATAATAACTTTAGAATTTACCTTTTCTTTAGAAGTTATTTCTAACTTCAAGAACATCTTTATGCGGACCTGAACTTGCTACTTTACTCTTTACAACTGCTCAAATTCCTACGTTCAACGTGGCTGTAATAGTAACCTAATGTGTGCAACAAACGAAGAAGTTTTCATTTAGAAAGTGTAAACTTATTCTCGGCCACAGAATTGGCGTTGAAACAAGCGTTCCAGTTTTGTTTGCATTAGTAATTTTTTTCATGTAAAAGTGTAATATCGTCAGGGTTAGGCTGTGATTGCGGCCGTCCGTTTGTTTGGTTTTTCTTGTGCTCTGAAATGTGACATTTTACACTCATTACATTCTCATGAATAACCCACCCAACTGCACTTATTAGACCTCAGCAACATGCTTGCGTATACGTAGTGTGAATTTTTTATGTTTAAAATCATTGTTATTATTTTCGTTTTCAGTTAGAGGAGCAACACTTCATTGGCTAGTGAATAGAGACATTTAAAACAAGTTAAGTAGTGTACTATGTAAATGTTATTATTCACTTGTAAAAAATTGGTGTGGTTATTAAACTTTAATTAGGCAATCAATTCAAGATATCTATTTTTTATACCGAACCATATTACTAAATATATTAATAAGTAAAGACCTCTTTGTATTTAATCATCTCATCCAAATAACAGACATAGTCCACAAAGCTTACAGCAACTTTAAATAGGTTTTGAGTACTTTTCCCTTTTTAAATTTTAATCAGTAACATGTAGAAAGTTTGGTGTAGAATTAGTGGTTAACAGAAGATGTCATCAGTATAAAAGTACTTTCAAATGTACAATTAATAATACGTTCAATGCCATAGCAATAATTAGTTAACTAATAATAACATGAATATGACTATGTGTCGTTGGCTGGGAGGCATTGAAAATGGCAGATTGTAATTGTCAGAACAGGTAACAAGTTTCACTGAGCGAGATTAATAACCCTCCGCATAAGTTGGCAAATTTTCTTCTCATTAGTATGGTTAATTTCAACCTCGCGATTTAATTCCTCCCATAGCTCTATGTTAGTCTATGTGAGCTGTGCTATTGCTGGATGGACCGCATTAAAAACTCTCTTCCATGTCTGCAAATTTCTTATAACATCTACCTGCTACATAAATATTGTTTTCAACATGTCGGTAAATTTACGAATACGTTTAAAAGTGACTTGCGAACTGAACCTTGGCTGATCATCGGCTTTCAATAAACCAAAATTTTCTAGTAATTACATTAACTAGTCTTTCCTAAACATCAAATATTAAACTGAGTGTAGGAATATGTATATAGTCAAACTCTTCTAATGTATCTTTTATAACTGCATAACTCGTCTAAGTGCATAGTTTAACGCGGTCTCATATGAGGATTTATCGCTTATTACATACATACTTGTATTGGGTCATATTTTTATTAGCAAATTTTTCTTGTTTTCACTAATTAAATGCGTACTTTATGTGCATATATCACATGATATATTATAATTTGGCCAGAGCTAATATTAATAAATTAGGAATTTGTAAGTCTGGAGTATTTTTTAGTCAATTAATTTATTAGATAAAAATCTTTTGCTTCTGGGTCATAGTGGATTATCTCGCTGCTTCAAACAAATCCCATAGCGATAGTGTTAGAAATCGTCAAGGCAGTTATTATCATGGGAAAAGAACGGTTGCAAGAAAGTTACAAATAACGGGTCATTGCATGATAAATTATTGTTAAATGTTATCCCTTTGTGAGAAAAAAAAATACCCCCATTATATGATTATTTTCTATACTCGATTTAATTAAAAACATGTCAAGATTTAAGATCATGGCTAACTTGTAATAGTTTCTAAAAGGCTGCTTTACAACTTGTAAACATGTTGTTGAATAATTATTATGTCCACAAAGATACACAAAATTGAGAAGAACGAAGATCTAAAGCTGAAAATCAAAAAGGAAATGCCAGACCCGTCTGCGAATTAGTGTGTATCGTAAGAACGCAAATAATATTTTAATTGCTTACAGTATGTGACAAACGTTCTTGAAAGAAAATTCTTTAGGTGTCATATTACCCTTTATTTTCGAAAATTGCCATTATTCGTAAACTAAAATAAAGGGTGTTCCCTGACTTACTGCCCTCAACTAAAAACACATAATGACATAACAGCTGTAGTAATGGTGATAGTAATGGTGAGCTCTCGATTGTTGGAATTGCAATTTCATTTGTCAAAAAGGACATTGAGAAATGGTCTCGCTTTGCTGCGATTAAGTGACGACCGCAGTAACCTCATACTACCATAATGACGTAACAGCTGTAAGTAATGGTGAGCTCTTGTGCTGTCTTGATTGTTGGGATTGCAATTTCATTTGTCAAAATGGACATAATTAGACATATTGAGAAATGGTCACGCTTTACTGCGACGCCATGGATTAAGTGACAACCGCAGTAACATTAATACTACTATTGTACAAACTTATCAAGTCTTGGCAGAAACGTCAACATCACTTTATTCTTGGCAACAAAGACAAGCTTATAATCGACCTTTTGCGGGTTTCAAGTCTCATCTTGTTGGCATTACTATTGCATATCCAAGACTATGCCGAGCACGACAAGAAGTCATGGCGGGAAAAGTATTAACATGACATGAAATGAATATCTTTTAATTTTAGAAAACCTTTTGTTATTTTACAATAAACAATGTAATCACAACAGTTGAGCCTAGCATATTACGTAGACTTTATGGAATTTTCTGAAAGCTCTCTAAAAGCATGTAAAAATTTGCACCAGTAGATTATCTTGATGACAACGCATGAGCTGGTTTTCCCCCACTCTCAACTACGGAGGAAAAAGATTAACGACAAACATAATAAAAATGTATCCAGGTTAAGCCCATTGATATCGCATCCGCGAAGGCTAATCGAGAAAGATGAAATAAACTTACAAAACAGCTTAATGTTTTTCAATATTGAACGGTAATAATAAAAATAATGTAGATTGCCCTAATTGGATCTGAGAGCTTTTCAAAATATAGTTAAAAACTAAAAGCGCATTTCCAGTTGACCAACGGCGCGCAGACATATTGTCATGTGTTGCTCATAAATTTACCTTTATTTATTTAAAAATAGTTTTCTTATTAACCAGTTAGATTGAATAATTTCCCCACTATGCTACGCCTTAGTTTAACGTTCCGTTCTACCGTAAGGAGATAAATCCGATCCCTATCACCGCGCAAGTATCACAGTACTTTATTTAGTATGTAATAAAATTACAAGACTCGGCCGAGATTAATCCACGCTGTGATCTTCACAAGTTTGTATTAATCCAAACAATAAATGCCCGCTTTCAGATTTAACCGAAAGAAACCTTGTTTATTGCGGTTTTGTGAAATGAAATTTTATATTTAGTGGAACCACGTGCAGGCTTGGTTAATCGTGTTATAATTTTAAATTTTGTGCCACACTTAATATATAATGAAATTCTATAAAAAAATAATTTAGCCTCTAATACTAAATTCCCCATTCAGCCAAAGCAGTTTTTATTAGCCCAGGGTCGTATATTCCGAAAGACTTGATATTGAGGGTATCTCTAATCATCCGATTTCGGTGTCGACCAATAACTGAACAGGTTGAGAAAAGTAGTTATATCACTCTAATCACTCTATGTAACTTTAATCCAGAATAGGCAACTAATACGAAACATTCTAATCAAAAGATACTTTCTCTCATACACATTTCCCCCTTGATGCTTTGTTTGCCTAAAATATCCACACGTCGAAAATGGAATGTTCTGCTCACTTCATGTATGACATACATCACCAAACTTTATAGCCTGATACAAGGAACCTACATGTTCTAGACATTCACGCCTCGATTTGGACAATGAAATATGAACGGGCCGGAGAAATCACAACAACGTTATCATCAACTGTCAGTTATATTAATTATTAGAAAACCAAATTATTATTGGTCTTTTTTATTTGATTTCTATCTTAATGTGTTTTTAACATGAATATATGTACAAACTAATAAGAGTATATATTATTTTCGTCGCTGACGAAGACTAATTATGAATTTCAGAGTATAACGATATAGTCCTTTACAATGTTGTGTTTAATATATGTTTTGATAATTTTTAAATGTCCATCAACTATATAATAAATAGCATTCAAGCTCCAGAAATTTTCGTTCGTTCTTTTTTAGGCCAAATGGCTTGGGAAAATATTAGTCATTGGGGTAGATGGGGATCCTGCCTCGGTTTCGGGCACCAACGTATCCGTAGACTTTTCATCCACTACAACTGCCTTTTGTACTGTTGTTCCTGTTTTCGAATCATCATCATCATGTACCATGATCGTTGGAGCACTAGTGTGAGGAACATTTCCCTCCTTGACCGTGAAAGACAAATTCCTGATATGGGATGACGTGATTCTCCTTTCTTGTAAGCAAGAGTACGAAATTGGTTTACGAAGGATAGGGATCCCAATACCAAGAGCCAAATTACTGGTTGGAGTCTCAGGTCGTGAGGAGTATGACATGATATCGCGGTGGATTGATTCGAATGAGCTCTTGCGAGAATCGCGAGATCCGAGAGATGGCGTTTCCAAGTTTAAAGAATCTATAGACGGACGTGAAGACAGTGTGGAGGCGGTGTCGTTGTATGAACTAATACTGTTATGTCTTCCATGTTTGTTTGAATGTAGATCCAGTCTATCCAAAACGATGTCAACTATATTTCTCTCTCCAACTCGTCTTTGCAAGATCTCCAACCATGATTGCATCTCGGCTGCAGTGTCAGCAAAGGCAAGGAACGTGGGGGGTGGTTTGTAGTTGCGATGGCTCTGAGTAGAGCTGATAGAGTCTGATGAACGAAATACTTTTTCGATGCGGATGCAATTGGCAGATTTCTTTGTTACGTTAGAGTCGTGAGTGACCGTGTTGTATGAAACGAGAGGAATAACACCGGATGGGTCTTTGTCGGTCTAATTAGAGAAGGGGGGGAAAAAAGATTGTTAATGACAAGGTTATTTGGAATAAAGTTGATGGCGTCGAGAAGGATAATCGTGGTTATTTACCTGATTGCGATAGTAATATAGATGGCTGTCTCTGAGTACAAACCAGCGACGCTTCCATGATTTACGTAAAGCATTACCACCGAGTTTAGTGAGCCATCCGCATTTTGAATCTTCGAGAGTGTTCATTTTGTAATATAGATTTAATTTTGATAAATGAATGCAAATGATAGTAGATGGCGTGTACTATTGTATTGTGTTTGAGCAGTCGGTAGTGAAGGGTGTTTGCGAAAATGTGATGGGATGTTTTATAGCTGTATGATGCTTTTTGTTGAATTATCCGAAAGAGAGTTACGGGACTGCTATGTTTCGATGATGAGATTGTTGTGTTTTGATAGTGAGGGGCCGGTTGCATGAAGCTGGCCTTTTTATATTTCTGCTGCGATGTAGTGTGTACAAACAAGGCCAAGAGAAGGAGGCTCGTTGTATTATATTTTCAATAGTGATAATGAATTATATTGCAATAATGATAATGTTAAATAAATATACAATGACTAATGCTATTTATATATTAACAATAAGTACGACTTTATGACAGTATATTTGGAGGAGATAAAGAGTGCATACAGAACGAAGATGACTGGTTCGCTGGGTTATTAATTTAATTCAGATACACCCAATATAATTTATACGGTGTTGTAATTATTTATACTGTATAATGTATGTGATATGTGATTGCTTTTGTATTCTCGTACTTACCCCTTTAAAGTCACTTATAAGTGACAACTGCGGGCCGACGATCATGTTTATATTTATTACCAAATCTGCACCTAATTTAAGAAATCAAAGAACAGTCTGAAAAAAGAACGATGATTGTCAGGAGAACGTGGACGAAATATACAGAGGAAGGGGGAAGAACAACAATTAAACGGATCTAAACAACCGACTAGACCAATGAGTATGTAATAACTAATAATAGATAAGAGTATTTCATACAAATGGTTCTCCTTGAAAAAAATTTTTTTTATTGCTATCAAACGACGACGTCATCGTAATCATCATGCGTCATCATTGTCATCATCATCATTGTCCTCACTCCACACCTTTTTCTTTTCTTTTCTTTTCTTTTCTTTGTGTTCTTCATTTCATATCATCCTGATACATTTAATTTACTAGCCTCATTTCGTTATTAAATCATTCTTATACCAGCAGTCGACATGAAAGTAAATAAACAAATTTTCCGACGGACGCTCACAAATTTCATTAAACAATAGTCCTTGTTATTACTATAAAGAGCGTTATTGAAAGACAAGGTCACAGACCAAGGTACTATTAATAGGGAATATGTATGTGTAGTACGCGATGACCATCACTCTTTGTTAGCGAATAGCTGGATATGGAAGGATATGGAAGAAGATCCATGGTTCGATTGACTGGTTTAAATTGATCGGCTCATACGTTGTTCCAATTAATTTGACATTTTACACATCCTTTAACACTCTTCTTTAACAACATTATAGAGTTGACATGGACTAACCATTTTGTTCGCCATTAATACTGTAATAGTACATGTGGGTATGAATTTTCATAATCTCTAGACTCGATTATTTCGGTTTAGCGTGTGGCTGAGCATTTCACAAAAATAATAGAACACATGAAACGTGACTATTATTTCGTGGCAGGCGTGTCATTTTGGTTATACATCCGATGGATGCGGATGATGCAGTAAGTTGATGATATGGGGACGGATAGCAGCCTGCATAGAATGAACATCGATTAGTATGCAGACGGCATTGAAACGCCTTTGATCTGCTGTATTACGAGGAGAAAAAAGAAGTAATGATCATCGAAACTTGAATACCTGGCTACTAATGCAACACTCCGAAGAAGCCTATAAAAAATTAGCCTCAAGGTGCAAACTCATTTTCTACAAGTTTGCTATTTTATTTCCGGGCTTGTAAGATCATGTGGATTGCAGTTTCGAGAACGTTCGCCGGCCATAATCGGGAATTTAGCATGGATGAGGGATGTATTATAATACAACTCTACATCGTAAAGATTGATCAGAATTATTAACTGAAAATTAAGCATGGAAATATCTTGAACGTTCGATTGTATCGTATGATTTTTTTACACACAACATTGATACACACATTCATAATCGAAAAACAAAAAAATTGTTTTATAAATGAAAAAGACTATTACTATGGTAGAGTTGCATAGTTCGGGAATTTGTGGAATTGTGACAACTGATTGCAGAGGGGGTTATGTGACAATTGTATAGAATCTGGTAAGTGCATGTGACATCCCCTTACGTAATATTTATATTAACTCTTTTTATAAATGTCGTCATCGGACTTATTCCATCGTTTTAACTTGCTAAATATGGTAAATTTGTCAAGACAATTACATCATTGCCGAAATTACGCTTTCAAAAACTTTGTATGCGAGTTTTAATTGCCTTGTTACCCTAAATTTGCAAGAGGAAAAGAAATTTCTTTCCGGATCGAACGAATCCGGTCATTTAAATTAGGCATTTAGTATACGTCCTATACATACATCCTATACATCGTATACATCCCCTTTCTATTGTGATATCTGTCACACTGCGCCCTCTATCATATTATCTCTTCAAACATTGCCTCTCCTTACACTAAACCGATTTACCAATCAGATTTGTCGGGGGGGTCTGGATTTGTTTGTAAGCATAATCCGTAAAAGGAGATGGCAGTGCATCTTTGTTACCAGGGTCTTTTCGTCCTGCAGTTGGGTGTTATGTCAAACACCATCAAATATCCATGCGGTTTGCATTATCGGTCATTCATCAGTTTTATGTTCCAAATAAAGCATGACAATGTAATGAGAAGAGAATTTTTCGAGTATGTACAGTCGGTATTTTAATGCAGTAATTAATATCTTCCCTCTTCTTAGGAGCGATAAAGGACGAGAAATGAATTGTATCAATGAAATTATTGGTCAATGTATGTCTACTGCTAACTATTTTTATGTGATAGTCGACCGATTAAGATAGGGGTTAACTATAAATAGAATAAAGAAGACAATACTAAGGAGGACATGTGAATTGTTTATTCGATATAAAGTGTGCTGTCAAATTACTGACGATGCCGACACATTTGGACATACCCGACATTCAGCCACCCCACTTTATCAAATCGGACCAGGTGCTAGTAAGCTGTATTCTCGAATTATTCATTCATATTCTCCCACCTTTGTTTGTCGAACGACTAAGCCACGCGGGAGAATTCGACGAGAGCTGTGATTGGTGATAACGAACACAGATAGTATAGACGCACAATTTAGCATACTAAAAGATTCGTACAGATACGTAATTGTTTGTCACTCTCCTCATCTCGTGTGTGCAGTTTGTGCGTTCTGCACTCATACACATAGAACAGACATTGTTCATTAGATTAAGATGGACACGGATAAATTAAACACATCTCCGTGAGGTCACTCGTTACGTCTGTGAACGTCAATGACGTTTATCTAATTAATCCTTGCATGCATCAAGGGGGGTGGGGATGCGAGGAGCAAAGATATCTGATTTGTTATTATTGGGTAATGCTGGTTGATTGCAATAACGGATTTACCGGTTACGAGAACAATGATTTTCACGATCCTAGACGATGATGATTTTTTAACCGGACCTGTGCATTCATGCTTTACGTGCATATGTACCTCCAATCAAGTCATTCTACCATTTCTGCGGAATGTATCATTGGTTATTTGTTTGGGTGATCCATGTATCAGTGCAAACAATACTAAAATTAACTTATTTATATCGGATGGTATTACGAATTTAGTAATAACTGTATTCTACTCACATTCAAAGTCACATCTCAAATATCCCAAACGCTTTTCTAACTTCTTCCCTGCAGTGTGAATTTAACCAGGTGTCACAATTATGCGCTTTAGCACAATTCAAGTTCATATTAGTGTCCATCAAAGTATAATTCGTGCGTCAACTTTTAAGCCTAGACTCACCAGCATCTGGAACATTAATTGCACGGACCGTCACCTGCTTTGGTTTGCCAGCTTTTGTTTATTGAATATTATCCGCTAACATTCATTCTAATTAATCTGTTGGTTCATGTTTATGATACCCCACTTATTTACATTTTGTTCTACAATTCCCAATTGCTCTATCCATTCTGGTAATGCATTCATCAGCGATAGTCGCACAGTGTTCGATAGCATTTTAAATAATTCGTCAACTCTAATTGTTCCCTGAGCTGCACGTTCGCAATTGATAACTTGGCCAATCACACTTTCTCAGCAAATCACGCCATTATTTGAGTGTTTACATAGATTGATTACACAGTAAAAGGTTGCTGCAATTCTGTTGTCGCTCTTATATCGTAAATAACTCTTGTAGCGAGAGCCATTGGTTAAAAGATGTTTAATTGGGTCCAGCAAAAATCTTTCGTATTTCTTATATCGAATGTGGGTTTACTTTGTATTTACTGCTGCTTTCGCCTGATTCACACGACCTACACGTATAACTACGATCAAGAACTCCATTTATGAAATCCCACCTCGTTTTCATCACTGGTTCCTAGTCGAGTTTGCTCATGAGTGGGAAGTAATTATAGACAGAATGTGGACGTGGGTGCATGTGTATGCATGCATATGTATCAGAAGAAGATGAGCGGGAGGATAAGGAGTAGGAAGAAATACTAGTTGTATAATGGCTGTCTGTCAACTGTTTCATTGGCAGTCTATATTAGTCTACATGCGTTTTGAAATGTATGGACTCCTTGTGCCCAAGTGTTACGGGACGTGATGCATGTGAACTGTGTCTAGTTATGCGACAGTACGCATAGTCGATCGGGGGAAATGGGATAAATACAGTCGTACCTCGTTTATATCCCCACTTTCTTTTCGGGGATATATTCGAGGTGGGATACGACTGAGTGTGTGCAACGTTATTTAAAGCATGCAATTTTATTGGCTAATAGAGCAAAGATCTTATGTTTATTTTGCGGGTGGCCTGATTTATGTGGCCTGATTTATGTGGCCTGATTTATGTGGCCTGATTTGTGTTTGATTTGTGCTTGATTGTGCCTGAATTTATTATTATTAAAAGTGGCATGATATTCAATTGGTAGCACAGGCATTGTATCCGTCCAGCTGAAAAACTGGGACAATAGTAATAGGTGATTAACGGCAAGGATGTGATGTGTGAGCGAACCAATCATTCTTAATTTCGATAGTCACAGTATTGACAATTCCCAGAATGCAACAAATTATATAAGCATACATATGTGACGTTACTCACAATGACAACGGCCTTTTACTTTAGTGTTTCACATGGATTATAAGCTTATCACATTAGCTCTCTTCATAATCGTCACCTTACTCTCCTCGTCTTTAATTTGTGTAGCATGTCCTACGCCCATTCGAGTAATGTCATAAAGTTTATTGTTTCAATAACTAAAAAAGACCCAAACACAATTAGCCGCAACAAAGAAATCGAACAACGAACGTTGGAATTAACAATTATTATTACACACAACAAAGAGCGTAGTAACAATGCCATATTACTACGAGCGAATAAACTGGTTTTGCATACGGAGGAGTCTCCATTATCTGAAACAACGAATTTGGACAAAACAATAAAGGTTGTATTGAAATTTTTGTATTAACGATTGTTCAATTGTTAGTTTCATGAAAGCATTAGCAGCTTGATGCACCAATGGTTCAATTGGCGTTTGTTTTCAATTACCATTTTCTTCTGTTTTGTCACTATTCGTCGAATTTGGCAAGAGAACAAAAGATGCTGACACGTTGTTCCAAAGAAAAAGTTTGGTAGTTAGTATGGGCATGTTCATTCAAAGAATTAATTAATTCACAGCCAAGTCTTAATTATAATGGCTTTTTTTTGCTTTCCTTAATACGAGATTTCAATTGTTCAATTGCTGTTACACGATTTGTTTCGATTTAAATTTAGAACAAACTTAAAGTTCAGCGTTCACCTAGATTATCTCTTTTGTTTACAATACGCCAAGCTTACATATAAGGAAATATACAACATTTGTGTTACGAAATTCATATTTGGTAATATGAGAAACTTTAAACATTTAATAACAATGCCGAGAGAAAAAATTAAAAAACGGTATGAAGAAGACAATGAAGCTTTGGCATGAGTTGATTAATTTGATAATGGTGGAAGGGGTTCAAGACTGTTATAGTTAGTTAATGTTGCTGTTCTGATGATGGCTGCCATTTTGTGGTTTAGTAGTATTAATATTAATTATAATTTCTTCGCAATTCAAGGGTGCACTAGTATCATTTGAGTTAGTGAAATAGCAACCGAGATGCCCAGAATAAAATATGCGTTTGCTACCGAGAAGGGAATGACTGCACGAGTTTCTATTCAGTCAAGGGATAATTGGTGCGCAAATCTTGGATGCAAAGTATCGGAGAGTGCATATTTGTTGGATTTATTTAGGCAGCAGAAAAAGAATATAGCAAGTCGAATACAATAGCAGTGAGTACGAAAGGAGAAGTTTAATTAGTCATTTATGTCTAGTCTAGTGTCAAGTTTTAAACTATTGTTTCGTATTTACGTAATTACAAGAGCATCAATGTGTAATAACGAAGATTGACTTGTATAAGACCTAGTTGCAGTAGTTGAGCTGTATAGAGTTGGATAATAATTACTAATAGTACAAATGCCAAGTTATAAATAGGTAGTTTATTAATTACTAAACATACTCGTCATAACACAATCGAGTATTAGTATTAGCATTTCCAAGATTCTGCTTTTGTTGACTCGACTAACATGGGTTAGCCAAAACCTTGTCAACTTCAATTGGACAAAATACACATGTATTTTTCCGTTTCCAGCAGTTAGTACAAAGCTCTTGGGTTTAATTAACCTTAATTTGGTAATTTCAGAAAAACTCGATTGTTCCCACCAAGAGTTAAGAACAATTTAAATTTGAAATCAAATCACATGATTAGTCTTATTCGTAACGCACAAATCTCACAAAACTTATTGCTAGCCGATCAGACAATATTATGTATAAATTTGGTATACATCAACGTTCCAACAAACAACGCTTTACCGTTACACGTCGCCAAACGTTGCCACTAACAAGGTTTGCTTAAAATATAATAATATGGACCCAAGACTGACATCTTGTTTCTCTTCATTGATAATGGTCCATATTCTGCGTACTTTACAAAAGAAGCGTTTGCCTCCTAACACACTACATGTTGGCTTATAGTTGATTCAATCAATATTACACATTCGTTAACGTTCTTGCAATCACACACATTCGTTAACGTTCTTTATTGCAATCATTATACTTGTAATCTCCCTCCTTTCCTCTTTCACTTTTCAACACTCAACATTCACAAACATACCTCGCTAAACACCCTTTAATATTCGGTAGGAATAATAGTAATGCATAAACTCCTTATCGAGTTAAATAATACATCTACACACACTTTGTAATTATTAATACATAAACTTCTTTCAAATCGTCACTCGTTTTATTCACAACATGAGCCAATTAAGCAAGAACGAACAGCTCTTGTTATCTCAATCCTCCACTGCTATCCCAATTCCCAAAATAGCCCTCGGCTCATCTTCCCACAGAAGCGAGATTCGCAACAACTTGCCTTCAAATAAACCCGCTTTGGTGCCACAGCTCAAATTCAACACTAACGACGCACGCATATTTACGCAGGCTGCCTCTACGGGTGTTGACATTGAGCAAATCATCGAAGAGGAGAATGAGAGAGAGGTGAACGAAAAGATAGAGAACGGGAGGGAAGAGTATACAAGTGACGAAGAAAAGGCACTAGAAGAAATCATAAAAGAGGAAGAAAGAAAGCGAACGAAAAACGAGTTACCATCCCTGGACAAGGTATTAAGCAACGAGTCAGGAGCTCCACTGAGTCTGTATAATTTCTATGCTTATTTGAGAGAGGCATGGCAAGCTGAAGATAACCTTAACGCCTGGTTGGATATCGTAACGCACGAGGCAGCTTTCAAGCGCTGGGTCGAGAACGAAAAGAAAAAGAAATCTGAAGCCACATCAAATAATCTCAACTCTCGTCTCTCCCCTCCATCTTCACCATATCGTGAATCCTATTCTGGTGCTCCAAGTGTAGCCTCTGAAGATAGTACTAGTCATGCTATGGTGTCGATCACACCCGATGAGGATCAATCAGTTGTTCACAGCGACCGAATGAGTGGTGTATCTAGCGAACGATCTGCCGAAATACGTATTACCGAAGACAGTCTAAACAAATCGGCCAAAGAGATTTACCGCAAATATGCTAGTTTGAATATATTTCCAGAGGAAAACAAAAAGACTATGTATGATCTAATTGAGCGCCAAGGCCGATATAACCCTGTCGTGTTTGCTACATCCAAGGCTTATGTATATCACATAATGTCCGTGGTCTATTTCCCAAAATTTATCCAATCTGCTGTCGAAACAAACCTCACCGCCATCCATGCGATCATAGCGCTTCCTCTCGGTATAGTTGCGCTGACTGGTGGCATTTCGTTGATCCTGTTTTATATATTTCAAGGATCAGAATCGCGATTAGTGAGGCTCTGGGGATTCATTCCTATATGGTTTGGATGGATGCTGTTGCAAATAGCGGCAACGAGGTTCGCACCTCCGTTGGTTCTATTTAAATTGAGTGAACATAAACTGTTTAGGTTTCACAGGATTAAGGAGAAGGGAATATTAAAAGCACATAGGAAAAAGGCAATGCAACTCATTCTCTGCGATACTGTTGTTGCTATTTTCAATATAATTCTGTTGATTGCTATACCACCTATGGCCCTGTACGAAGAGAACAAACACTGATTTTTATGGGTAATATAAATAAACTAGTTTTTTTTTTTTTTTTATTCTGATTGATCTTGTCATTTTCTGTATTAAACACTAGTAAATAGTTTTCTATGGCGGGTTCCATTAGATTAAACAGTCACAATTAAAATGAATTCGTAGTCGATGACACAATCCTCGTTCAAAAACAGTTTGACAGTTTCATGTGGTAGCTTCATGCGCTTCAATCCATTGGGACACTTTTGCAGCCATTATCTCGCTATGAGCTTTCCAAAAAAAAAAAAAAAGTCAGTCGTCAACTCAATTGAAAGCTGCTCGTCCATCCCGATCTTATATACTCACTCAAGACAAAAGCATGCGGACATCCATCTTCACAAATTAAAACTTTTCCGTTTGGAAACTTTTTACAAAGAATCTCGTAATGCTCGACTGGCGCCCAATCATCCCTTTCCCCAAAATAAAACACAAACTTTTCCAAATTCTCTTTGATCAACTCTTCATCCAACTCTTGGACTTCTTGCATCTCTGTCATTGCCATGTGCAAAGTGTTCTTCACTACATGCCCATGGAGAAGTTTTTGCGTTGTTATTTTGGCATAGGCGACGGATTGTGATGTTACTAGTTTGACCAAGAGTGTGAGTATATGTGGAGCCAAGATAAATCGGAGAGATGCGATCAAAGATGAGGCAAGGGTTGTATTTGTTGGATGGAAGAGAGGAGACAGCAGGCGACCATTTGGAGTTTTGTGTATGTGTTGGAGAGTTGGAAAGAGGGCATATACTTGTATTATCCCGTGATCTGGGCGAGATCTTAACAACTACAACAGGGAAATATTAGTAAATTATGCAAGACATTGTCCATAAAATTAACAACCCACCTGTGTAGCAATATAAGCTCCAATAGAATGTCCGCATAAAATAAATCTCGGAGCAACGTTGTGACCGTGTTCACTCGTGAATTTCCTTTCCAACTCGTCAAATATCGCAATTTTATGATTAATTTGATCCTGTAAACTGTATAATCTGCTATTTCCTTGGTAATGGTCACCATACGAGTGGCCTAAATGCGAGACTAAGACCACGTTGGGTGAATAGATCGGAATTAGATGTAAATCCAAACAGGCAACCTGATTGAAAGTCTATTAATTCATTATAGACACCATAATACTCCAGGATTTGGTCCCTCACCTCCAACAATTTCAATTTTTCCTTTTCGCTCCCGAAAAATATTATCGCAGAATTCTTTGTAATACTCAATCACACCGGGATTCCCTGGTATTATAAACAGTACTAGTGTTCCTTTCGGATCGTTCGTTTTCTCTCTTAAACCTGGCCACCATAGAGTCTCTGTTAAATTTCCCGTTGCATTCCATGTCGTGCGCAGGGGTCGTTCGAACAGCGAGGAAATTGGCATGTTGGGTGAGAAAGAGCAAGTAAGAAGGCGATTGCCTTGGCTGACTGACAAGGATATTTCGGGGTGAAACGAATTAAAGAAATTGCGAGAGACTTTTATCCTCGTGAATTTTAATATTATTCACATGACGATCTGCTTTATTCGAGATTAACATGAAAACAAAAATGAAACTTTCACATGAACGTTCACTACGAACGAAGTTTAGTCTTTTCTATGGTGAAGATGCAACTAAAAAAGAACGCATTCTATTGTAAAAAATACGATTAAAAATTCTAAAAGTAAAAATCCAATCATCGCAACACAATCTAATTAAACAGCACCAAATCCGCAATACGAAACTCTTCCTCAACCTCCTCACTGATTTTCCTTCCAAACAGTTTTCAGTGTTTCCGTTGTATTTTTCAATAACTTAAGCGCGCCTTTGCTCACTCGAACAACAACATCATCAGAGGTGGTTGCATGGTTATCGGACTCGCTATTTGCTATTACTTTCTCAGCTTTATTGATGACGCGTAGAAGGGCTTTATTCTTGAGGTAATGTGATTTGATTTCTTCAGAAAAACAGCCGGGTGGATTATGGAGTGCTGTCCAGAACAGAGATAGCGGGGTAAGATTACGGATAAAAAAAATACATATCAAAGAACACTCTTTCTTTATTGTGATGCCAATTCAGCCTCGACATACCCTTAACGATTGCTCTTAGACTCAGAATATATGCCTTCTCATTATAAACCGCCACCGATGTGACTGCCTCTTCCGTGCCAACAAACTTCTCGTATCCAGCCTCATTGTACCATGGCGATCGAGTTAGCACCAGAGCTTGAAGAGAGATAAATAGTTGTAGCAAGGATGATGAGGGTGTCCAGACTTCCGTTTGATCTCTACCGTGCCAGGTATTCAGGAGGCTTAGGCAGACTAACGGAGAACGAAAGTATAATTTACAAGGGGCTTATATTGGGAGGAGAGGACGAAAAGTATAACATCGTATACCCACCTTTTCCGTCTTCATACAGGTTGGGATTAATCCGCCCGATCCCACCAGTCCATGAATGAAAGAATGCAATTGGTGGTACATTAGGAAAGTCATTTGGTAATGAAAAGTCAAACAAAAACGATGCATCTTCATATCTGTAAAGTAAATTGATATACATAGTAGACATTGATCGACTGTAGTACAATAATTCACGTGGATTACTGTCGAAAGGTCACTTACGGCGTTTGTGACGACCCGAATATTAACACGCGAAGCAAATCCATTCGGTTTTCGAACGAGCGTACCAAAATGCCGTCTATCGAAGAAGGAATGTTAAATGTAAACGGGTAACCTTCTAGTGCGACAAACACAGTCGTCCTACCTGGTAATGATTTTCGTAATATACCGTGTTCTTTGATTATGCGTTGTAGGCATGCTCTTGATCGGCTCTGTTTTAAAATATCAGCCATGAGTGATCAAAACACTTAGTAATAAAGTTAGAAATTCTGTTTGAAATAATTACTTGTTCTGTCTGCTTTAAAAAGCGGTGATCTTCAGGAGGCTCTTCTAGCATCTCGAACGGAAGCCACCCGTATGCAACACGACTTGTGGGACTATCTATTTCCATTTCATTTTCAGACATATTCTCATTTGTATCGTTTGTTTGTGCAATTTCGATTTGCCTGATATTCTGTGCAATAACGCCATCATCTTTCCCTTCACATTGTGCTTGTTCCTTTTCCATTCTGTTATCGTTTTCCTCATCTTCATCTACAGTCTCCCAACTGTCACTGTCAGATTCAATATCGCTTTCGTCCTCAGATTCACTTGACCAATCATCATAATCGTCTATAGTCCTATTATAAAACGTAAATCTACTATTATTTCCATTCGAGTTTGTGGGGATATTGACATCTTCATCTTCATCTTCATCTTCTTCGTCGAGTACAATTACTTGGTCTATAGGAACAACAATTGTAGATTTGTCCGCAAGCGAGATGACAGCGCGACCATCTAGCGTTAGTTGGGAGACTTCTCCAAACCAATCGAGAGATCTGACTGGAACAGAATCACGCCAAGCAAGCAGAGACGAATATGTTATTAGGTGATTTCGATACGTACTTGTAACAAATGTGCCATCTGTAGCGGTTATTAGTAGTAATCATTATTATTGACTTCCTATGTTAAACTGACCTGTTCTATTAACTTCATTTTCTTCGCGCTCCTGCACATTTTTAGCCTCTTCGTTTGATAATCTCCTTAGTTGCAATGCGATTTGCTCCAATACAGCATTGTTTTCAATTACATTTGACAATGATAATGGTGGCAACGCCGTATGGATTGCACTTTGCTGCCACAAAAGTACTTTATCTCCTAGCCCGCATTGCAAGTCTGGATGTACGACTATCTCATAAAGACTCAATTCTTCGGGTTCGTCCTGAAAACGAGTAGATTAACGTTATTAAATTCGAACTGTTCACTATTGAGCTCGCCAAACATCAATTTTTGTAAATGTACCTCGAGTTTACCGGGCTCTTGTCCGAACCAGCGTACTGTTGCCAACCTATCTACTGCATTCACGCGCTGAACAATACCCATGCGTTCCGTTCCTGTTTTGTCGTCAGTCTTGGAAAGTACATAATCAGCCTAATAGTTCCCGAATTATATCGTTAATCTATGGTTATAAATAGCGGTATTCAGTCAACATATTCCGTCATACCGGCCATACGTCCTGATCGTCGACATTCAGATATGGTACCAAATCAATTGCTCGCACATTCTTCTCTATACTCATATCTTGCCATTGAATATCGACCATGGTTTGAATGTTGATGACTGTCTAAATTTGCTAATACGTTAGTACCAGCAGGGAACATTTCATATGCTGATGAATTGTATTAGATTATCTTACCAAGATACGGAGGTTGCGTGCAAAGACCCTCGTACGATACATTATCTAACGCTATTTCCGGAGCTCCATACGCGCTTGCCGTCTCTGCACCTTTAAATATTACCCTGTCGGCAATCTCGAGAGTAGCGTGTTCATTTATACTCTCAAATACTATAACGTTATCCAAGTCATAAATATCTGTAGGCGGTGGAATGGCATTGGAAGTTTGATCAGAAGCCTATAAATTGAAAGCCAATAAACAGATACTGATCGTGAGCAGCGAATGGGAGATTATGAATTCTAGCGCTCTGGCCTCTTCCTCTTTCTAATAGAAAAATTCAGACATCTTTTTCGTCACCTACATGTCTATTGCGCATAATCCATCGAACCTTGATCTTAGTGGTCCGAGAACCAGAAACTACTGCGTCTTTATGGTTTGGTGAATAGGTTCCGTGGTGGTATACTGCGCTTCGAAAGACTTTACTATCGCCACGAACGTTCTAATTAGCAACAATAATGTATTATATAGTTAATACGTTATCGATATTCGTGCAGTTCTATCCCTATTAACCTCATTCTTATTGTTAGTCTTGTGCTCTTTTTGCTTCATGCTGAATCATGTTCACTACTCTCAATCGTTCTATGACATAACATCACTTTTACATTCTAACCTCGCCGACTGCATATCGATCGGGATAGAAAGTAGAGTATCGGTTTATTGTTTCGTCAGGTTCCAATAGATCCGCTTTTTTGACAGTACAAAAAGCTCCATCAGCAAAACGTAACATCACCTCATCCGAAACCTACGATCGTAATAACCAGGTTTAATATCTCAAATCTGAATACCAATCAATTGGATTGAAAGTCAACAAACCGAGCGAATTGTTCCAAGCCAATTGTTATATATGATGTAATCCCCTAAGTATAGTAGAAGCTTAATAATAATTAATCTTTGATTCAATTATGAATTTAGCCGACTCACCCTCCCTATATTTCCAGTAGTAAGTTAAATCTCTAGTGTTTACTTCTGTAATAATGTCATTAGTAACTTCATGCTTGCTAATGTCAGCTAATCCATTAACGCTGATAACCGTTCCAGACATCATGTCGTTTCCCGATCTCTTTACAACATCTCCAACTAAGAACGATGTTAACTGAAAATTAAGGATAAATATGGAAAAGAGACAATCGCGGTAGCAGACTACAAGAAAATGCTACCATAACGCACCAACATTCATCTCAGGAAGGATATCTATCAATAACCTTCAACTGATCCTCATTAATATTTTCAGGCGATCTTCCAGATAACCAAGATACAACTGCGTGGCCTTTAGGTAACTGCGACACGAATCATTAATCAGTCTATATGCGATCCAATAACTAGCATTAACAAGCCTTCACTCACCATTCCAGAAAGAAGTCCTGAAACTGAATCTTCCTCTGGTGGATCCTCAAATTCAAACCAAGTCTTCGACACTAAACCCAATTCACTAGTGCTGTCACCAGATATACGAACGGTATCTCCAAGATACACCTAATTGAAGAGACGTAAAGGTAATAAAAGACTTAGAAAGAAATTGCAGGAATGCATAACGACAAGTGAGGAATTACCTTAGTTGAGAAAGTCTTCATAGCCATTGAACTGTAGAATGAAATGTTTTTGGCCTGTCTTTTATATTTATAACAATGACTTAAATCAGATCTGGTTAAATAAGGTAATTTCACGTGATTTATTTCAATTACACAACTCACCGCTCGATCGCCATTTACTTTCGCCTCGTTACTTTATTGCAGTCTGTTGGGTGCCGGTACTAGCTCTTACCTTCTTAAGTACAATATTAGAACATACCATGTACCACTGCATACATATATAGTCAGAATGTGATATGCTTGAGGCATAATTAGACTAGTTTGATGTGAGCATTTCGTTTATATTAGAATAGTGCTTATCAGACACGTATTGGACAGAATAGATCAATTACGGATAAAAGGGATGTTCGTGATTTACCGAAGCGGATTCTAGTGGCCTTCTCTGATTACCATTCTATTTTATCTTCCATTTGTTTACCGTGTTAATCATGAAGAAATTAAGTAATTTGCGAGTTTAATAATCTTTGACAGTCATAGTATGCATTATTGAATAAGATTGTCTTTTAATATCCTATCTGCTTCCGATATTCTCTTTTTATTTATAACAACGTATGGAGTATTTACCTATGTGCTATCGGTGCTGCGTTTATTGTATGCAGTGGTATACGGCATTACAGGGTCACTTTGGGTCAGTAAGCGAACTCGCTCTAACGATCGTTTTTTGACAACAGTTCCAAAATGATGTATGATGAACTCGCGGCGTCTGTTGTGGAGGAAGTGGCTCTTGATGGAGATCAGGGTAAGCCATATGAGAGTTGAATTTTGAGATTTCAGTATATCAATTTGTAATCAAATCATATTCTAAATCGATATTCGTTGGTAATTGCCTCTACCAGGGACTGACCTTTCTCGCTTTTGGGACTTCGTTGATTCTTATGTCAACGGCAAAAAAGATGAGCTGGCCGCTCCTCCTTCGACGGACGATCAGTGGAAAGATCACGTATGGAAAATGCTATCGAGAATGTCAGGAATGACATGTAAAGCGATACCGGAGCGCCTTCAGAACATTGCTGCGCAAGGCGGAACGGGAAGAAAGGGAAAAGGAAGGGTTAGGGATGAAACTGTTGAGGTGTGTCGGAAAGGATATTTAATGATGAAGCTAAATTGCAATGATGACTAATGTTGTTATTACCTTAATAGTTGGAAACTGTTGACGTTAGTAATATGACATTAAAAGATGCCAATGAACTTTTTGGTGGCAGACTTCGATTAGCGGCAGACGCGGATTTACAGCGAACGGCTATGTTTGGTGATGAAGACGTAAGAGTCTCCTTTTGTCGCGTCTTATTTATCATATAACTTACCGTACGTGATTATCTGTACTTGACAACGACACCTCTTAAACACCATAATGTGAATGTTACTAAACAGATTGTACAACTCGTCTCGGCACAAAGCCTCAAAGTTCTACATCATGTGGCTAGAACGCGTTCTGTCGGAGCAACGCAAGCAGACATGGCCAAAGAACTTAAATTAGATCCGAGATCTTTATTCCATTTTGTAAAAACGCTTGTACAGAAGAAACTCGTGTATGTCCTGTCTGCATAGATTGTTTAGTCGTATTCGTTTTTCCACTAATTTTTGTGTATAATTTATCCTCAATGCATATGTTATTGCATTTGATTTTACTGGATTAGAGTTAAGCTTCCCGTCGTAACAAAAGGAAACTATACAAGTTTAGTAATACTTGCGAAATGCGCTCCATATAATTCTGCATATGCCGGAAAGTCTGTATATCTTCCAAGTCCAACCACGGGTTCTAATCTTAGCTCGGGAGTATCCTTTAACTCGCATCTGATCAGATTCCGCATAACACAATTATTAGCTAATGCTAAAAATCAAACGCTATATACATCGGATTTACTTAAAGCTTTGGTAGGAGGCGATAGAACATTGGCGCCAAAATTGGGATGGAAGAGTTTTTGTTACTGTTTTGATTGTTGACTGTAATTTGTTTACAGGGAATGTCCAGTCCTTCCATGAAACAACGGCGTTGGTTTAATAGAACCCTTGGCGGACTGCAAAGACGAGGTTATGTAGAGAAATTGAATGTTTTGAAGAAAACCGGTAGAGGTTATGAGAGATGTATTAAACTGATTATGATGTACGATATGAATAATTCGAAAATGATGACAAGTAAGCAAAAATTTCTTGGTTCTGTTCAATTTTAACTTCTAAGGTATTCATATGCCGCATTTGCATTCGGAATTTAATTACATCAGCACGAGATACGAAGGCTCTGTCAGGATCATCAATACCTGCATCCTCCTCGTCCACCCGATCACTCAAGACAAAGTCAGCAAAATCCCATGGAAAATTAGCACAAAAAATTTCACCGATTCACGTTTTAAATCAAGCTAAAGCAAAAAAACCGAGTGACATGTCACGATCGAAAACCTGTATATCTCACGCTTTGTGTGATTTGCCTATAGATCGTCAAATATATGACCTTATTCACTCTTCAGGAGAAGTAGGAATCACTGCTAAAGAGCTTAGGGATCGCCTAGGTAGTCTCAATGTCAGATTTTTAAATAAAATCCTGGTGAACCTCGTGAAGCCACAGCCGGACGATTTAGTACATTTTACGGTGAAAAGAGTTGGAGAATTTCAAGGAAGAACAAGGCAGTATAGGTATTTTACTCCGAACGGATTTGTAAAGTACCAGATTGCACAAGGATTTGATCCGGAAGAAAGCGAAGAACTCGTTGAAGCTGGTGTGGATAATACGACAATGTTTGATCCTTTAATTAACCGGTTCGAAGTGGTCAATGTTAAGCGCAATAAACCCAAGTACAAACGCAAACGAAAGGCGAGAGGCAAACTTTCTGGAGATGTTGACGTTGATGATACCGATAGTGCGTCAGAGAAATCACATAAGAAAAGAAAAATTCAGAGCGCTGACTATCTTATTGAAATTGGAACGCCAACAAAATCAATACAATCCGTAAACAATTCAACCAGCATTACTCCGGTGTATAAACGGCTCGGCAAAATACCGAGGATCAGAAGTTTGAACAGCACCGAAGAGTTAACAGAAACGAGTAATAATGATTCTGCAAGTTCTACAAACGAGCGTATTGTTGTTGAGGATGAGGAGGTTTCTGGATTTAAGGCCAGTACAGGTTCTCGAGCCCAAGCCATCTCTGTAGAACAGCGCCCCTCCACCAAGAAACCCGCATCGGCCAAATCTTCGTCCAGAGATACTGGTTCTCGCAAACAAGTTGCAAGCAATACATTTACCTCTCGCCGACGCCATAAAATTATCAGTGATCTCCTCGAGGAACACAAAATACTCGAATGTAACTATGTCTTAATTCGACGTTATCAGGAAGCAGAAGCAAGTAATGGCAGTTCAACCCCCTATCCCCACGTTGTCTGTAAGAAAACGCTCATGCGCGCTGGGGAATACATGGAAATTAAGGGCCTACTAAAGCGGTACACCGTTGCATTACCGCTCCTAAACGGTGGGATTACTCACAAACTATTATTCCTTCATCCGACGTTAACACCAGACAGCAAAGAAGTAAAAGATTATGTTGCAAAAATGCAAGATAAAGCTATCCTCGCTGGTGGAACTTATAAGCCCGCTCCGGTGGATGAAGTAGACGTAGAAGTAGAGAGATTAGATGAAATGCAGAGACGCATTGGTGTTGACGGTATTCCAGGAGATGTTTCTCCTCGATCACGATACGATACGATGATGTTCGCTGATAGTATGGATATCGATAATACAGAAACTCTAACATCAGATGCAGGAGAGAATATCCAAAGCACTTCGCGAGTGAAGATATCGGACCCTGGGAGTGATCTCTGGTGGTTGAATGTAGCTCGGGATTACGGATGGATTAATGCAAAGATGCTTCGTGCCAAATTATTACATCAGTTTTTGATAGAGACGATCAATAATGCCTCGCCAGATGATACTCGTGTTTCTAAAGAAGTTAGTGTGTTTGAAACAGCTATTTTACTTCGAGAGATGCCATTGGGATTGTATCTGCGCATTATTGGGCAAACAAGTCCCATTAAGGAGCTTACTGACTATATTAACTCTGGTGGAGATCTTTTTGTGCGGTTGATTGATGTGGCGCCCGAGATTCGTGCTACTATTTTCAATCGTAATTACAAATTTAGGGTTACTTTGAAGAATTTGTTGGATATATTAGTAGCCTTGCAACTTATAAGTTCAATATCAAAGTTACTTGACGATGAGGGAAGACCTTTGTTCGGCCCCTTGACTAGAATGTGGTTAGAAGGCGCAGACGAAGCTGGAGCTTCGGCGTTTTTGGAAACGTCCGATTCCGATGTACTTATGCCAGCGTATAAAGTTATGCATACTGTACCAATGTATGATTATGCCGTACGTGGACCTAATCGCCCTTACATAAAAGACTATCAGATAGTGACTCCGGAGGATCTGCAAATATACTGGAGCGAATTACAGTATATTGCACTACAGCGTGAAACGGAATCTAATGCTGCTGATATGTGTGGATCTCAAGACGCCTCTCAAGATAAAATCAACAATACAAAGAATAAAGATCCCCTTCGCTTTATAACCTTCCCTCGTAATTGGCAGGGTTCATACGCTTTAAGCATCCGACAAAAAAAACTGCTCGAGTCTTACGTAGACCGTACAGCGGGTAAGACACCTTACGATGATGACATGCTCTGTCAGAAAATAAGCAAAGAATGTATAATTCCCGTGTCTCGCGTTAAAGCCTACTATAAACGTATTGAAGAAGCTTACTATCAAAAAACTCAAACCAAGCAACAGAATCGCGCAAGCACCAAACGCGTTCCAAGACCACGTAGATCGCGACGTGAAGGTCTTCTCAAACAACGATCCATTTCCGGTGTTGTCGCCTCCGCACAGGGCGAGCCCTCATTCCGTAGACGTCGTCGTACGACAAACGTTCATCGACTGGTCAAGAAAGTCCAACGATCTCGTAATAATATTTCCAACAGTACGAATCAAACTGAGACTAATGATGGACTACAAATTGAAGCGGCTATTGTTGACGGTGAGATTGTACCAGTGATTAACGATGCGACACGTTTTGAGACGCAATATGAAGAACTAGCTCAACGTACACGACCTAATTGGATGGTAGAAGAGGATGAGTTGTTAATTTATGCTTACGCTATTATGAAAGTTCGTGCGGCAAAGACAAGGTTTCTGTGGGCCGCTATTAATAAAGTGATACCACATAGGACCAAAGAAATGTGTCGGAGAAGGATAGCTGTTCTAAGCAAGAGAGTTATTATGAGAGACAGAATTAACAGTTTGATTATCCAATGGGAGAGAATATACAAAAATGCTATTGAGAAAGAGGAGATTATTGATGAGAATGTGAACGATTTGTTGAATTACGATCTTCTTGGTCAAGTTGAATATTTCAAGAAAATTATGGAAAATCAGCCGAGGCATGCATATTATATCGATAGACTTTTTTTTTTCTGTGGATATGGTTAGCACTAACCGTTGTTTGCTTGCTTAGTGTCCTGGCGCCGGTACCATCTCTATATCTTCCAGAAAATGTCTCCATTCTAAACGAGCGATTTGTTGTCAAAGATTTCTCGTCCAATCGCAGAATTGATTATTATTTTGAAGACCAGCTTCCAGGGAAATCGCTCAGACAAAAACAAGAAATTCTTCTCTCTAGTCAGTTTTCTTGTCAACTTCCGAACGACGAGCTTGTCGATCTTCCCTCGAAATGTGAAAGTATGCCGATGGATACAGGAAAAATGATCACAGATATGATCGAAGCATTGTTAAAGGTTGGGAATAGAAGTTTGCATTTTACGTACAACAATTTATTCATCTAATATATACTTATGATGATTCATCCTTTTGATTGAGAAGATGATCCTTCTAACACCAGACGATCAATATGATACCACTCATGCATTCTCTATACTTAACTCTTATCCCATTAAATACGTTGACAAAGCATTGGAGGAATCCAAAGCGAGTGGGGCTATTGTCAAAGTCAAAAGCGGATTCGATCGAAGAGTTCCCGGTCGTGGTTATCATGTCTCTGAGAAGTATGTACTTGATTCCTTGTACAAAATAGATTTCAAGAATTGATATTTGGGGTAAAAATGTAATATTCACGATCAATTTACAATAGATTTCTTAAGGTTATAAACGGCAACTTGCCAGAGCGATTCTTTACGCACGCAGCAAACTACTATAAACAGCTTGTGCAAAGGGTCATGTTTTCGCCTTTTGCCAACAGTGGAACCATGGCTTGTCTGTTGGATATGCTTGCAAATGACAAGGTAGATTGCTTGAGGCGACACTTAAAGTGAGGTTGATTACGCAATAGACTTATCAGCATATTTATATAGATTACTCTGACGGGACTGCTGCCATCGCATTTGTTTGCGAATTTAATACCGAATTACAGAACGCGCCAAATTGGTAAGTGATCAATTAAACAAAAAGCATAATAATACGTCTATGGCTGTTCTATGCCTTTCCTACATTTATTTTCTCACTTTCTCGCCTACATATAAACCAGACGAAAACAAGTTGGAGTTTGACATTGTTATCTCTCCCAAGAATTCCGTTCATTTCGACGCCACTATGAAGACATCGATAGTGTCACAACGTGAATTTCTATCAGAATCAAATAACCATCAACTTCCAACAATAGAACAACCAAAGATAGTAATGCTCGATGAAGACACGTCTATGGATACTATCGATATAGAGATAGAGAATAGACAGAGTTTACACGAAGAGAATGTATTAGAAACGCAAGACAGACAGAAGGAGAAAGGAAAAAAACCGTCATGTCATTTCAAAATTCCAAAATCTAAAAAGGAAGCTGTGTCAGAAGCCAAGAAATTGATGATGACTCTGGATAAAGAGACTGGAAATAATGTTTTTGCCGTTTTTAAAGCAGTTGCTCGGTTTGGTAAACTTGGAGTGACGATTAATTCGTTAAAGGTAGGTGTCTTTCAAAGCATTATCAACCATTATCATCTCCTTAATATGTATCCTTTCAAAGCGTACCAGCGACGTTTATTACTTCACCGAAGCCTTGCTAACTCTCATAAAAACAACCTTAGGCCTACCTACAGGAGAATTCTAATCAAATTCCGGACGCTCATATCAATCAATCTCTTAATCTCCTGGGGAATCATACCCCTCTATTAATTATGCGTGTTGGCCATAAAGTTAACAGATACGTTTGTGGTATATACGCGGAACGGTGGCTAATTGATGTTTCTAACAGACAAAGTTATAACTCTGCTCGGTACACGCCCCGGACAGTAAATGCAGCAGTTGACGTAGAAACAATATCTGGTCAAGGTCAAACGTTGAGAGAGAGAACTGAACCAGAGAAGAAATTTGCATTACCTAGAATGTGGTATAATATCAATGGCGAATTCATTGAATCCGTTCATCGCGGATGTTTAGAGGTGGTCCTTGGAACTATACTGAAGATACCAGGAATTTATGAGGTAAGAATTTGAGACAGCAGTCGATAGTTGATAACTCTTGATTGAACTTGTTGTCTTTGTTATGTTAGTCTAACATCTATAGAAAGCTACGATTGGTCATGACACATGCTGAGATCCAGGATATCTTAGAGGATCTCGTGGAGAGAGAATGTGTAACAAGGCGATGTTTCTTGAAACCGCAAAAGGCAACATTATTTTCGGCGCCGAGGACCTTTGAGGATTGTGGTATGTATTGTTGATGAATACATGGATATTCGTTCAAGCGTTATACTAAGTCACATGTTTTTATGGATAATTTAGACTGCAATGTAATTAGTTCCGATAAAGTATCATGCTATTGGGTTAACCAGGGATACTATTTATATCATGACAAGGTTAAGAATTGCTTCGTCTAAGAAAATATTCTTTGTATTTATAATTGGTGATGAAAACAACCATTTTTAATAATTAATGCTTTAATATGTGATTAAGATGTTCTGTAACTGTGATTAGAAATTGAATTAGAGTAACAAGAATCACAACGTGTGATCGTGAAAAGATACTGTTCCCAAACCATTGTTGCAATAAAATATCAATGTGATCTATGAATGCAGTAAACGTTGTGCACACCGCACAATTATAAATACGACGCAAGATTTTACTAGTAATACATACGAGTTGTTGACCCTTTAAGTCACTGCTCTCGATCTTGCTTTCTGCTATTGTATTCATATCAATATTAATATGCAAATTCAACTTTACCAGAGACGTTTCTACAACGATAAATTGGGTTATGAAAAGAGTTGTGCTCCGCGCGCGCAGAAGGAATCAATGCACCATTTGGGAGAAAAGACGAACGCAGACCAGAAACCAAAGTGATATTGTTTGCTGCTTCGGCAGCGAGTGTCAGTATGCGAAGAGCTTAATGTGTTGAACAATGATCATCAGCGTATTTATGTACATTCTCGTGCCACAAAACCCGTTTTAAATTTTCGACCCTCAGACATGACAAACCGAAATTCAAATGTATCCGCCGACTCACTCTTCAGGATCGCAGACAGATCGGTCCTCCGGTCACCCATGCCAAGACACATAAGCTCACTTCATTCCATAGGGACAGCTGCTCCTACTTCACCTCATAAACGTAGTCCAATAAAACCCGGGAAGTTTGTACGGCCGACGCCTATAGTGCCTGCACTCGGCATACCAACGACGTATAATGTCACTAGCTCGCCGTCAGCTTATGACAGTTTAAAACAGAATACAATCCCGGAGAAGTTTTCCTCATCAGAAGCGCGTTTACCGGAGCCAAGTAACGATTTTAGCCTTGTATCTACTGAGAAAAAGGTCGCACCAAGTTTCGAGGTAAGCTCGCTTCCTAGTCCTTTGATAGAAGACGATTATCGACCGGAGAAAGGAATATACATGACTCGTTGGCATTTGAGATGCATTTCTGCATGTGGATTGAACCTTCCGGATGATCTTAGTGTTTGGGTAGTGTTGAAAGGAATACGGAAATACAAGGGACAATGGAAGGACTGGCATTCATCAGCGATTGTCGATAGAGTTGACTCGCGAACCGTGCAGACATTAAGTGGACAAAAGTACTACCTAGCTGGCGACGTCATTGCTGATACAATGATAGAAGATGGTGAATACTATGATGTTATCTGCCTTTGTGTGAGTAATTGACGGCAAACGACCTAACAGTACTTGTTTAATAATTCTAGGATTTTCATCAGAGTTAATAACTCGATTTTCGCAAGGATTTCCTTCAGATTGGAAAACAGTGTTGGCTGTTGAATTCGAAAGACATCAAAGCCATAGAATAATGACGATGACATCAACGCCTACAAAGCCTAAAAAAGTCGCGAATTACGATCAAAATGACTGTGCGGATGACCTGTCTACCAAATCACCGGCCCGTAGGGTTTCTAACACAAATAAGGATTTGTTCTCGAATACAAATAAGGATTTGTTCTCGAATACAAATAGGGATTTGTTCTCGAATACAAATAGGGATTTGTTTTCTAATACAAATGAGGATTTGTTTAATGAGGCCGAACCGACTCCGCCATCACCAGAGACGACGGTAGTGGATTCTGACGACGTAAGTTCTTTACTACGATCATTGGGCACGACATGGCGATCTATCATATACATTTATAATACTTTTCTTCCGCATAGGTGATTCTACCAAAAGATGTAATTGCTGTCACTCGCTCAGGACGTCGAATAAAACGACCCGGTGCTTGGTGGGTCAGCCATTAAACACATTTACAGAGTCACGTGATATATTTGTAATTACAGTATTCCACTAATATGTTCGATGCTTGCAGGAGAAATTACTATTTGACACGATATGTTCATAGCTAATCTTTTTTGTACATATTCTGGCCCGATCTGATATATTACCCATTACTGATACCAAGTAATGTAAAATAATGTAAAGCCACAGATGTAAAGTAGCTGATGGAGAATGTGCAATGATTATTTCTGAACAGTGACTAATGGATATAGCGATCCAATTGTCATGATTTACCGTTCAAGATCCTAATACTTATCCGTCCCTCCATTTAAACTGCCTAATACAGGTACCTTGATTACTTATCCGTCACAGTCCTAAGCTAGTGAAGTGCTGCCTTTTTTCAAGAAGCATGCCTACTGTTAGTAATAAACAATAAATTGCAATTGTAACCAATTATGTAATTTGCAAGATGGTCCAATGGTAATATATCAGATCTCTATTAATATAGTTGTTACGGTCTTTGAACAACTGACACATAAATCCATCGCTTACTACAAATTGTATTATAAGTTATCAAACATTTCAGAAAATGCCACAGAGAATGGAGAATGTTAGATTAGCGATGTCTTAACAACGCGCACCCAACCAACGCGAAAACAACAATGTACATTCTCGCTATCTCTATCAAATCTATTTATTTCACACTCACTCAATGCTACTCTTATTTATTGTAAGGGTATATCAAGTCAACGCGAATAGATATACGACGACTTATCGTTAAGCAAGAAGAGTTAAACTGTAAGTATGAAGTTTGAACAGATAACAAAAAGTTTTTTATGATTGAATGTCAATACGTAGCCAAGATCTCATTCAAGAGTGTCGCAAAAAAAAAAAAGAGAGAAAGAAAAGAGAAGATTTAACATGTAAACATTTGGACTGAAAGTCCAACTCCCCTGAACGCTAAGGTATGCTATTCATGCGTTAGTATACGTTTAGTACTACAAAGCTCTCTCAGGCGACCGCACATACCGTTTGAATTTTGTTGAAACAAACAAATTGACTAAATAGAAAAAATATGTGTAATAAGGCCCTTTGTTCAGAATAAAACCATTGAACGTGATGAGCTTATTAACAGTGAGGACTTTATATTAATTTATTTAGTTGATTCATTGATATGAAATAGACCAAAACCAACACCATAGTAATCTATTTTTAAAAGGAACGTTGATGACGTTATCGATGATTCCTGCTGTGTTAAATTTGAAGATGAGAAATACGTGTATATGTTGTACCTCAGTTGGACCTGTCTCGGCTCAGCCCAGTCACAGTCACTCGGTCCAGAACTCGGTCCAGAACTGAGCTCGGTCCCCAACTGAGGCACCAGTGTAACAGACGTTAAAAATGTGCCTGTCACAAATGTGTCAATAAAATTGCGCCCTAATGTCACAAAATGCGTTCGCGCTTTAAGAATACAGAATTAGGTTCGTGACAGGGGTTCAAAATTGCACCCTGTCTTGTATAAACGCCAGTTATATTTCATTGTTAAAGTTCGTGTTGTAATGTATACACGTAAAGCGTCGAGTTGTAATGATCTTAATAATAATAGATTTATTCATTGTTTATAATTTTATATTAATATCATATTAAATGAAATACCGCAATAACGTAATTGAATTGTTGTCTGCAATTATTAAATGAGCTCATTTTCTAGGTATGGATGAGAACGAATATGAGGAATTCCTTAAAAAGACGCGTCTAAGTTTATCTCCCTTTATAAGCGGACGCCGGGGTATCAGACCAGACAGATATTCGATTATCGGTGCAATATTTAATTAGATTAACACAACATTTTTATACCTTGGCAATATGAGGGGCATAAAGAGCCGCCTGCAAATTTCAATTGATGTAAGGAAGACCACGTTTAGAGCTAAATTTTGTGGGCACAAACGCTCCCCTAGGCGACAAACATAATAATACGAAACTAAGCATATAATTTCAATATAAAATAAATCAAATAAAAAATCGTCCAACAAATGTTCCCACTGCAAACAAAAATGCAAACCGTTGCAAGTAATCATCGAAATAAAATGGCATATAATATAATAATATTATTATTAGCGAAGGCATGCGAGGCCCAAATACCGAAAAAAAACCCCCCCGAGAGAAGAAGGAGGGAAAAAAATGTAGCTGGTATTGATGCTCACAGAATTTGTCAATGTGCCTGGTTAACTTTTTTAATACTAACTCAATGCTCATCAAGTGGGAAATTATAGTCTCTATAACCACATAGCATAACACTTGGCTGGATGTTACTACAGAAGTAGCCTTCCTCTGACTACTACTATCGCGAGGGACTTTTATTCTACTACTATTGCTCCCATTCCTCATAAAATTACTAGTTAATATTAATGAGCACGTGGCCAAGTAATTTCACTGACAATAAAGATATTGGTATGCCCAAAACTAAATGACTGAAGGACTGAAATAAACTATTAACAGAGAAAAATTACGCAAAGTGCTCCTTACTATTACCATTTAATTGAGAAAGTAGAGTTAAATATGTTATGAGAATAAGAAAAGTTAGATACGAAACAGAGTGTTATTCGATATGAACAACTTTGTCGAATAGTGCAATTGGATTAAGCGGACAATTGGAAATACTTTGGCATGAGATTTGTCATCATTACTATGGCCATCACGTTAAATCAATCGTAGACGCTAATGATATTACTTATAAATTACTAATGCTTCGTGTCCATTATACAATATAAAAAACTTGTTTCGAAAATTAACTCACGTGATCGACTTTTTTTTTTGATGCCAAGTAATGTTATTGTATATCGCTTGTTTCCATTGTCCAATGATGTAGGGATACGTTTCGTATCGATCATTCTCGATTGCGCATTTTCCCACATTCATTTATTACTCCCATGAACAAGGTCTTTTGTAAGCATTATAAATTCCATTCAAAAACTCCTTGTCCCCATCATAATCAATCATCCCACACAGTATGCAATCTGTGCGCCTCTATTACATAATGGAATTATTGTTTCTTGTTGACTATGAATGTGTCTGTCCATGAATTGTCTCGGAGATTACAACGATGCGGGTACGTACCCTGGTCAGAGAAGAGGAGAGGGCTGAGTAGTCTTTTTTTAACACAAGATGTGAAATTCTCCGAAGCGAAAGCTGATGTTTCCTCATTTGGTTATGAACAAACAGTGAGACAATGGTGTAACGAAACATTTAGGGGTCAGAATTGTCTGTCATATTCGCTCCACCACCCCATTTTTACTTTACTCTTGTACATATTATTAGTATCAATGTGGTTATTAAAAGCAAAGTCGATGATGCCATTGAAAGTCATCGTTTGCAATATAAAGAATGGACTTATGCATGGCTTAGATGTATTACTATTAATATCAATATAATCGCTTCTCAAATACAAACGTACCTTTTTATAGAAAACCAGTTTGCATACTAATTTGTCTATCAAAGCCATTGACTCGAACAAATGGTTGAATAACTATCGCGAGGAACTTTTATTCAAATGGTTGAATAACAAGTAGGTCCTGCTTTCAAACTCGGAGTGATCTTGTTCAACGACATTTTTATCGCGTAACGGTTTTAGGCAGAAACTTTGGTGGTGCTAACCAAATGTTTCTACCGACATGGGTTTCGCAAAAGATAAGATCAACCATTAAATCGGAGTACATACTCACGGAACACCTAAAGAATGGGGGGGTGGATAGACCCGTCTCAATGGAAAACTACATCTCCATTGGTACAGCTGACGTTTGTCTTTGGCGATGATGAGCAAGTAGCAATTACTTAATACACAATGTTTCATCTTTGCAGAAAATGCTACGCAAAAATCTTTATCCCAACTCCAAATGGAAGTTATAAACCAATCCGGGAAATGAGCATATGTCCCGATCAGTTACCTCAAAAGATACATCTCCATTGTTATAATGAGCAGGCAAGCAGCAATTAGTATTCGGGTTAAAAGAAAGTACTTAATACACAAAAATCTTTTTTTTTTTATTGACAGACTTTATCCCAATTCTAATCTATATACAAATGTGGTTATCTTTGAAAACCTAATTTGGAAATATGAAGAAAGGGAAAGCGAGCTAATAATTCAATGGTTACCTTTCATTTTAGGAAGTGCTCTTGACATGGTGATTTTTGGTAAAAGAGTGTTAAAAAGGAATACAATGAGATAGTTAATTCCTTTCAGAAGATTAAAACAAGATACCAAAAGTTAGATAGTCAGGAAGAAGGATCCTATGCTTATGATGACAATCAACTCTAATTCGGTCAAACTATATAATAAGGAATAAATAAATTTATTGTAAAGGTAAAAAGAGAAGATCGTTGAATTAAAACGCATTGGTCACCGAGGTCTTGCATTATGCAATAAACCCCTTACCAGAGCAACTAACGTTCTAACAGTTGTGACATATTTATGATGTCAGGCATTTAATAGCTATTAAATATTGTTTATAGTAGATGTTAATTTCTTTTGTTCAATCAATCCAACCCCATAATATGGTGTCACAGTTGTTAACCCCCCGAAATCACGATTTGTTTACATATTAATATGGGTTAACGAAACGTACAATACGCATAATATATTAACCGCGCATTTGCAGTGTCCAATGCGCAGTCCCTGGATTCGCACATACATATTGTATTGGTATTGGTATACACCAACACACTAACACTAACACACTAACACATGTTATCGGTGTACATTCGGCCGTCATTGCGTATATTTGAACAATGGAACAGACAATACGAAGGGGGTAATAGTCAATCACATGAGAGTGCTACACAGAGAATGGGGTAAGCAGTGTCAATAAACCATTTACAATCGTATACAACCGTTCATTGTATTGCGTATGTTTTTGCAGATGAGAGTAACCGATGCCAGTATGTGCGATAATAATAATAAATTCAATGAATTCTTATCATCCGGATCTGGAATCGGGTGATGTACGCATCTATTAATATTATTTGTCAAGGGCTGGGTTGTTGCCTTGCCTTGCATAAACATAAAAAACTGGCTGTTTTTATAGCCTCATTCACGGTTCATTCGGGTTAGCATAATCTTCGCCCCGGGGCTGTGTGTATCGGCTATTAATAGACGCTAACACGCATTTTTATACGTTGATATAGTATTCGCTTTACGTTGGTTTTTGCGTTTAAAAAAGGACATGCCTAGCCGTTGGGAAAATGGCTGGTGTTTGTTGTTGTCAATATGGTTGGTTCACTGACTCACGTAAGCAATGGGATTTACACTAAATGAGCTGTCCAATGCGTATTACAATGGATCGAGTAAAATCGGCCTTTGCGAATCGGGACTATTTATTATATAACACAAGATACACAATAAAGTTACAATCACATATACACACGAATCGAAAGCATCATCCAGGCACAACCGATATTCTTATAGTGTTTGTTATCGATTCCATGCGATGACGGTATTTCCCGCTTTATATTAAAACCAGTGCTCCACAAAAGTCTTCATTCAAACAAGTATGTGTTATATTTTAATTCATTAAATCTTAAATTTAAGTTGACCAATTCAATATAATCGTCCCGCGCGCTATCATAAATAACAAGTTATTTGTTACCTACCAGTAATTCCCGCTAACTATATTACACACTGTCCTCTTCTAGAAGGGGACCAGTCAACTTGCAGTACGCTATGAATGAGATAACCCGAAATTAAGGTTGTCGACCGACCTTTTATGATTACAAATCCCAAACTTGTTTCCCTTGTTTCGTTCACTCGGTCGATAAGATGTCGTCTATATATTTTTCCCCCCCTCGAAATGCTGATTTCCATTCGTGCTTGCCCCAAATGGCGCATCCAATATCATCCATTCAATGCGCGATAACCTGCTCGTAATTAAATTTTCGCTTTTGTGCACTAGTACTCGCATCATTTCGACATCTCCGTATGGAATGCACTAGAACATACATAATCATACCATAATGCAGCGACTGCATATGTGTAAGACATATACAATTCATTACAGACATTGTGTCTTTACTACATGTTCTCATTTGTTATACTGTCCACCTTAATAAAGACGGAGAGGAAAAAACAACCAAGAATTCCCGGGAAAAAGAGATGGCGTATACCATATTGATAGCCACAAGTGGTATGTTGTTGGCCAAGTTTGTTGTCGAAAAGTGTAAGCAAAAGATACATCTTGGTAACGATAGTGAAATCAGACGTATCGACATGTGCTACGATTACTTATGCATGTAAGATTCCTATTAATTTATGATAAACTATAATCCCATGTCCCATTGTCCAGATGTGGCCTGTTGATCTTAATATGTTTCCCCTTGAGAGGGTATGGTTCGTGAACTATTAGGTGAATGATTAACGAAAAATGTTTTGTAGTTCAAACAGCATATTATAACCAATTATATCAAATACTCCCCCTGCATTTTTTTTCTTTTACCTATTTCTAGGCTGTAACCTCGGGGGGATACCCGTTATGGGATTTTATGCTCCCAAACATGATGGTAATAAAGTCGACGTAACTTGTATCTGGGTTCTAGGCTAGTCATTCTCACTTTCTCACTCTCACTCTCTCACTCTTTTTTTTTTTTTTTTCGCACAGCAGTGGTTACACAATTGCTACGTGATACTAAGGGAGGGCTCTGATTGGCGTGGTATAGTAGATACCATTCCTGTCGATATTTCATGCATCTCGCAGAATGTCTTACATGAAGATTGTAAGTGAAAAATTGTAATACAAACGAAAGGTTTTTAGTTCCGAAATTGAACCTTAAGTTTACGTAAGCAGATAGAAAGGGAAATTACCTTCTTAATTTTTCTTACCTGTCAAAAAAACTTAATGATCATACGATTTGTCGATTAGCCTAAAAAAGTTTACGAACTAAAAAGTCAAGTAGTATTTTATTTGTTTATGACATAAAGTTTAGGTGGCGACGAATAACCGTTGTGCACTGCTCACGATCACGCCACTCGGGTAGTTTTAAGAGTGGTTTTGATGTATTCCAAGTATTCCTCAATTACCTGTCTTTTCACGTGTACAAGATCGTAGTACAGTCAGTTATTTATTTGCTATTTTCCTCTATCTTTTAACAAGAAGGTCTGTTACCCACCCCGGCACCAAAATGCCATCCCGCCTGTCATCCATAATTGAGACAACAATGCTACCTAATCGGGCAAGCACCGAGCCATTCCAGACGAGGGGTTAGTTAATATTTTCCCAGCCTGACTGGAGGGATTTCAATCAATTAATATTTATTTATTTGGTAACCATACGAATTCTATGTTAACGACAGGAATGCAGGTGCTCGAATATCACTGCATACTCAACAAATGATTATAATAAAAAACAATGTGTGTTGGTCACAAAAAAGCAGATATGTGATTGTATTACTATATATCGACATAAAATATATACGCAGTATTATACTTGTGTATAATTAACAGATTTCATGATTCAATTACTTTTTATGTGCTTGTACTGACCCGGTTTTGATATTAATACTTTACAACTATTGGTATCCTGTTATACCATTTATTATAAATACAACTTCATTCTGGAACATTTGCATGCTCATGAGTAATGATGCCGATCATCCAGGCATTGACCTTTAATGAACATGCAAACTTACACTAGAAGATACGAACAAACACTGTGGATCCCAACAACTACGTTATTTCCGTTCTATTGTATTCACATGTTATTTGCTGTGGATAGCCGCAGATAGCCCCCATCAACCTCGAATCATTACATCTTACGTCAAACTTCTATTCTTAATCCAACCATACATCATTCCTTTTACGACACCTACAGCCACATCCACACCCCGTCCCCCCTCTCTGCCCACATACCCTTCATCACACAAAGTACAATTCTGTAAATCGCGGGTTTCAACATTTATATGCATATATGCACTACTCACAACAATACATTCGAATTCACATTCAACGCCCATTATAGTAGTAGTTATTCCTGTATATATGTATTGATACTTTATACTACAAATACGGTATCTGAAAACATATAAATTGCGCTCACCCGGGAGTATCATCTACCTTGGTATCCGACTTAATACTCTCCAACAACCGATACGGTTGACGCTACGACGATTTACAAAATTTGTGCATATCTATTCTTCCTATCGAACAAACCCAAAAATTCATCATTCGCTCAACACATCTACTTTTTTGACATTGCTCTTTCGCCCTCAATCCCATACAATGACTTCTACTTCGACTCCATCATCCAAACAACCACTTCCTCGACAACGAAAGAATACTCTTAGTATTATCATTCACGCCACAATGCAGCTCCTCTCGTCCCCACCCTCTTCCCCTACTGACTCCACTGTCAATGGAGCTATTCTCTCACAATCATCATTTTCATCCACTTCACGTGACGACTCATCAGAATACTTTTCATTCCCAGACTATGAAGCTTATATTAAGGATGTGGAAGAGACCGAAAAGATGGTTGTACAGATGGAAGAGTTTGACGAAATGGTTGTCAACGGAGTTAGAATACGCTCACCAAAGAATTAAAAAAAAAAAAAGTAGAAACCTTCAAAAGTATGGAATATAATAGATGTGATATGATGACAAGTGGCATAAATGGAGATGTTTAATAATAGAATTGTTATCGCATGTTCAATGTTTGGATCTATTAATCGGATGGTTGAAAAAAACAAAACGGAAATCGACATATTCTTTCGTAAAATCGACATACAAATGAACACTTAATTAAATGGAAAAGGCTTGAGAAGCTTCTTTTAGCAACGACAATACATTATTATATGAACTTGGCCACTTATTACACAGTGGACCATGCTATGGTTTATTTTTATATGCTCTAATAGGATGTATATTATATTACTGTATCTTCTCTTTATATTACTATTTTAAAAATTGTTCCACAATCTATCGATCTCTTTTTACATTTGGAAAGGGGAAGAAAACCCAACAAAACTGTTTATGAATAATTAATTTCAAAAGTTACGACATTTCGAGTACAGACGAGCATAAAAAAACGTTATTTACTAAATAGGATAAACGACAACTCTTTTCCTTTTTTCTGTAATCTTTTTTTTTTGCTCTCCCCCGTCGTCAGTATTATGCTTTTTTTTCGTACTGCTCATCCGCAATGTTTGGTTAATTTCATGTATCCCCTTCGACGCTTACTTCTCTGATCCCAGGAAAGGGAAAGTTTTTGTATTATCTATAGTTTAGAGCACCACTTTTTCTTCGTGGATATGAATTGCTTTTTCGAGACGAGACTGGATGAAAGTGAACTATATTTCAAAGTTACGTCTATTTGTTTGAAGTAGAAATTCTCTTTGTTATGACCAATTCTTATATCGTAAGAGCAAACGACTATTCACCCATCGATTCGATTTTTTATTCGCTTAGTTATACAACAAACTTTCCTTATTCTTTTTTGCATCAGAGACGTAAAAATTGTTTATTTATATTACTTGTAAATATTGTTTATATTCGTCTTTTTTTTTTTCTTTGCTAAAAAAATTATCTTCTTTAGTCAATTAATTTCTTCGTCTTTTTTTTTATACGCAATTTTCTTTTGGGAATGGAAGAAACAAATGCGCTAAGTTTATGTTTTTATTTCGCCGAAAATTACTTGCTCATACTTTGTTGTTTTTCGAGACTGAACGAAACGTTTTAGTTCTTTTTCTTTTGCTTCTCTTTATTATATCGAATTCATTTTGACAATTTTTTTTATTATCTATTAAAAACTCGATACATTTCCGTTCGTCTTTATTTTGTTTTGCGAGACAAATATTCGAATTTATCTTTTGTCATGTAAAAGAAATAAATAGTAAACTATATGAACAGAAATCGTTATGCGCGATAATGATGCTGAAGCCATAGACAAGCATGTTTTATGCTGGCTTGGAACCGCCAACTTTCATAGCTGCTTTACTATTTGCAACGAACTAGTTGTTTGTTTAAACGTTATGCAAACAGATTTCTCAAACGTCGGATGGAAAACTTTGCTCGCTATTGCAGATTTGGTTTCTTTCCGCAAGATAAAGGAAAGGAACGGCACGGCAACATAGCTACACTTATCAAAATCATAACTTTCAATACGAAATCCATCTTGCAAGATAATCAGGTACATTACAAAAGTTTCACTGCGAGGTGGTTGATGTGAGTGTTCGTGAGAACTATATATTGATTTTACTTGCGCCCACCATTGGAGCATATTAATATGGTATATTGTTTTTATCACAAAGGGCAATGGCAGTTGAGTACAACTTTAATATATTCGGTGTATGTCCATAAAGTCAATTGGCAGATGTTTACTGTTACTGCCTCTGAAGATGTGGTTGCTTTTTCTTCTTCATTTCTTCGTACGTATATCCATGCCCAAGGTAAAGGATCCCTATTGCCTGATATTAATCTCGGCAAACATGATAACGCCACCATGTATTCGGGAGTCATAGTCATAGATTTGTTCTACCCGGCAACAACATGAAAGTCGGTTTATATTCATATTACCTTTATTCTATACCTACACTTAATGCCTGAGAAACTGCTATCAAAGCATAATAATACGTGGTGCACAGCGCCTTGCGTCAACGATGTGTTGCAAAAGTTCTGATTTGATATCAGCTTGTTATATAATAATTTTATTTTCCTCCCGGTTTTGAGCTATATTATCAAAGATGCGTTCAAGTTCCCTTTTTTTATTACATCTCCATTACCATATCATCTATCACTAAATTGGTTATTCCACTAGTAGGTGCTCTCATCAGCTTACTTCCCTTGACAGATTTGGCAAGTAGGTAAGTTAAAGGGGGGGCAGGTACTCATAAACTCTTGTCAAAAGATTTCTTGTCATATAGCACGATTACTGAAAATCACTGTATTGTGTATATGATATCTCAAATCTGATAGCGATAGGGATAGTACCCAGAATTAGTTAATGAAATGACACAATAGTCATCAACTGCGGCGAAATAATAAAAACTCAAAGCACAGTAAATAATAAAGGACCCTCTCTGTAAACAAAAGAACGCGTTTTGCTTGCAAGATAACAAGCACTTTCACGAACAGTGATATGCATGCCATCAACTTTAAAATTTTGTAATCTGTTGTTGCTGAACCTCAGAAGTTAATTTCCTTTAGTATAGCAAATTAGCATAATTCTAAAAATCAATCATCAGTAATGAACTAAGAGAAGCCTTTCAAACCAGAACAAGATAGTTTCTTAAAGGCACAAATTAAAGCAATGGATGGTGGATAAAAAAAAACATACTATTGCTGGGAATTACAATACACATTTATGTCAAGAAACTTATCTTAATATGTCAGGCATTGGTAGAACATACATAGTGGCTCTCTTTATAGAATCAAACAAGTTTCTACACTATAACGAGATATACACAAAAAAGAAATCTCACTATATAGTGTATTTTAATAATACACTCCCCTAGCATAAATTACCGGATTTCATGAAACTTTATTAGTAAAACATATGAAAAGTCTTTCTTTTCAAAAATCTCTCCTGTCCATGTATGCTATGCAAATTACAATAGTTTTTTTATGATTTTGAAGCTAATCGATTGCACTTTTTGAAAATAATAACAATAAATTTTATACATTCATCACTATAAAGTTGTAGGTCGATGAAATGAATGTTACGTGCTTTACATATATAATCGTATATTTTCATATCAAAATTTAAAGACAACCCCTTCAACATGTTACAGCTTTATAACGATAAATGTATAAAATTTTATTGTTATTTTTTCAAAAAGTGCAATCAATTAGCTTCAAAGTTATACAAAAACAATTGTCATTTGCATAGCATACATGGGCAGGAGAGATTTTTGAAAAAAAAAAGACTTTTCATATGTTTTACTAATAAAGTTTCGTGAAATCCGGTAATTTATGCTAGGGGAGTGTATATCATGTGACATACACTATAGCGAATTGATACCGAAAGTATTGAATAATGCTAGACTGGCGCTTGTTTTCAATATTATTTCGAAGAGTTTGATGCTTTAAACTATTTAACGTTTCCATAGTTACAAAATCGACTCTCCCGAGATTATTGTGTTGTAAATATTTTACCACATTCGCTAATCCTTCCAAAGCATCCTTTACTTTTATCAAGGATTTAGACTCTTCAATATTCTCTGGCTCTTGAGTATCTTCACTGTTTACGAACTTGACAATTTCCTCATCCGTCATTTGCTCCTCACGAACAACTTGATCATTACTCTTCCACAGTCAGGGAATCAGCATTTTTTTATCAGTTACATACTTTGCCCCAGTCAAGGCAACACGCTTTTTGCCACTTCTATCCCTAGACTGTATAACTCGTCTGAAAGAATACAATACTTTTAATTAACAACATTAGTACACATACACTACCTAGACATAAGTTTGCGCGGTTTTTTAAAGAATTTTTTATTTCGTCTTAGCTTAATGAAATACTAACATCTTGTTGGCCAACCATTATTGGCAATACATGCTTCTATTCGTTAAGGCATACTATCAAGTAATTTGAGGAAGACTCTTCGCGGGATTTTCTCCCATTCTTCTTTTAACTGCACCTCTAAATTCACAAGATTTCTGGGAGGATCAGAACGGTCGCGCAAACAACGTTCGAGATGATCCCAAAGTGCTCAATCCATTAACATTTTAATTTTTTTTCCCCAGAAATCCATGCCTTAACATTGTTCGTAAGTTACAGTATCAGATACTTATTGATATCGTTACAGTATCGGACAATTATTAGTACTGTTACTTTATTTATAATTTGAATTGTTTTTATCTTATATGGCGTAAACAATAACAAAGACGCGTACACGAGAAACAGAGCTTTCAATTGATACCAAAATCGATTATTTTTGTTACGTCAATTTTAATAAAAATGAGAAAAACTGACCGCGCAAACTTATGTCTAGGTAGTGTATGGATCAAACGTGATATTTCCTTTAAATAAATCAACAACTATAAATTCTCCGTTAACAGTTTCCTGACAGAAAACCTTCCCAAGTTCAGTGGATCTGAAGGGAACCACCTAATATTGAAAACTCTTTTGAAGTGAGGAGTAAAATAATTGACAAAGTCGAAATATTTCCACCCATAATCTTTGTAATGGACTGCATTATTACAATGAGCAGACGTTCTAGCTACTTCAGCGACATCATCAACAGTATTTATCCTTGACTTTTTGTAGCGAACCTTTAGTAACCCAAAATACCTATCTCAAATAAATTTTGTATGCCCAGGTATCATGAAATTAAGTTCATATTGAACATACTGATCAGCAATAGTAGTTTATTCTTATTCTGTCCTCCACAGTTGTCACAGGTAATCTTGAGGCTCTCCTCACCTCTGTTACGTTTAGTAAGGGTGCCATAAACCTACAGGGCACTAAAAATCAATTAGGGAAATACCCAATATTATTCACTAAGATCTTGCTGATTAATGGACGTCTAGTTCACTGAAAGGGGTACATATGATCTAGATCGAGGCAAGATATATATATACCATAATAATAATTTAAAATCCAAGTTTTAGTCTAAATACCAAAAATGGAATAGCAAAGAGGCACGAAGTAAATAATTAGGTTAGATGCGGGTCACGAAGCACTGCTCGGGCATCGTGTGATATATGTCTGCGTAAGTTTCACATGCCTGTTTACGACTATTATTAACCCTGTCAGGCAGAGCGCCTTTCCTACGGAAAGAACATGAGAAGCGAAGCTCTCGTCTTTGACACTATTACAAAACAGTAAATACTGTTATACAAGTTGCTCTGGTTATAACGACAGTTGGATAAAACGACAATCTCCCAATAATGACCTTTCGTTGAAAACCAAAGACTGTAGGTACAGAGGCCGGCTCACAGCAAATGTAATAAAAAGCTACAAATTGGGGCATTTGAAACCAAAATACCGCTCATTTGCCACAATTTTAGAGGATACGATTCTCATATACTCGTCGAATATTTACAGCGGATAGTTAAAGTGTATTCCAGAAAATATAGGTAAGTATAAATGCCGTGGGACGTGGGCCAATTCCGTTTCTCGATAGCTACCAACATATGACAATGGGTATTGATAAAGTTTTGGAAAGCTCGAAAAACTTCCTTTATCGGTCAAGCACTTCACTGAAAAGGGGTACAAATAATCTATTAATAATAATAAAGCGAAAATGCGTATTTCCTTATGATTGGACAAACTCATGGGACAAATTCGAAAGAACGCCGAAAGGATTTTTATTCTATACTTGACCAGCAAAATATTAGCAAAAAATATGGCAGCAGTTGGTGAATACCATAATCTTTATTTTGAATGCGATGTACTTTTGCTTGCGGACGTTTTCATGAATTATACCGTTATGTGCTTGAAGTTACTTCAAACGCTTTTACCGAAGAAAAATTATGTAGTACATTATCGAGCAATACATGAAGTATGGATTAAAATTTACAAAAATCCATGGTGCAATTAAAGTTTAGACAATCTCACATGGCTAATAAGATGAGTTTGGTGTGATGTATTAAAGCTAAAAATAATGCCGTATTTGGAAAACGTTCGCGTTTAGTAAGTTCACCATTAAAAGTACGGTCACTCTGAATAAGCCGAACAAGCGATTCTTGATATTAGCTATGTTTGATGTATAATTTCTGGTATGGATATACTGATTTCAAAGGATATTTTTCATATCTATTATAAATTCATTAAGAGTGTTTGAAACAACCGTTCGAGGATTTACTAAGTCTTGCCAGACGATACTGTTCGTATCGATGTCATACTTATATATCCTCACCGTGGGTGGATTCGCGATCGGGTCAATTAATATTCCTTCCTAGATAAGCGGAAAAATAGTAATTAATAACAGAAAATTAGCAATAGCAATAATGCAGTCGTCAATAGTCTACTTTCCTCAACTCCCTCGCCAATCCATCGCAACAATTTCCTATGACAAACTTGAGGTGAATCGCTCATCGAACGTAATTCCACAACAAAGTTTGGTGCAACTGACGGAAACGCTTGTTGCCTCTGATCGTTTGATAGGACGTTCCATCTGCAAGAATAAATTAGAAGTTAAAAATAATAATGCAAAATACACAAGTCATCTTACAATAAATAAAGCTCAAACCTGGTACTAAGGACTACTGAAACACCTGGGCTCAGAACGTCACCATTAGGCAATGTATAGGCTCCCTATAATTAATAAAAGAGACATAATTAGCGCTATTAAAAGGAAAACATAAAAATGATGCTTTTATAACATACCTGTGAACTACCAAAATTGTCCAACCAAGTTGTCGTTTGCCAAACACCAGCTATAAACTTGACCAATAATTATTGCTTCTTTTCGACCTAAATATTAAGTATTATGTATAGTTCTAGCGACATTTTAACTATCAAACGGTTGGTTAGCAAATTACATACTGGTATCGTTGTGGACAGGAGACATTATTTCAAGTCGACCTTCAATTAAATTCATTCGATATAAGGTGTCAGGATTTGCTATTGCAGTTTCTTCGAAGACTTTGGTATCACAATTGGGAATGATCAAAGGTGGGATATAGGAAGCCATTTGGAGAGTTGTATTATGGGGCAGTATAGTATATTCTTTCATCTGAAACATACACACAATTATATCGTGAGTTGCCTAGAAATAGATATAGGATGAACTACACAATCTTACGCGGTTAGTCTAATAAAACATACCAATGATGATGTCATTGATTGATTTTTTCGTCGATTTAAGATGCGAGTGCTTTATAAAAAGAAGACCCTGTTAGACAACACCAAACTATACGAGACGATAAAAAACAATCGTACTCAAAAGTAAGAAATGAGGAATAATTACCACAGCCAAAGAGGTGCGAGTATAGTGCAAGATATGAAAATGATAAACGGCGCAAGGAGTCTTGTGGTCGTAAATAGTAACTTGACATTGCGATTATATATATGCAACACAGGTGGCACAAAAAAACCAAATTAGATTCACCGATCATCTAAATATTAACTAAAGCATAATCCCGAGTTTATGAGGAAATTGATGTGTGCAGATACTGATTATAGCAAGATTTACGTTTTCTACTATTGTTACCCGTACAGTATGTAAATATAAATAGAAGGATTAGTGTATATTTATCGATATTGATATGTTCTCCCGATGATACTAATACTAAGACAAAGTTAACAATAAACAATAAATCTCTTTTGTTATGCATGATTACGATAATAATAAGACAGAAACCATCGTATAATTAGATAACAATAACAGTCTCAATTTAGACTTGAAGACGTAATAATGCCGGATAGTTCCGAAAATAATTACCTACACCACAATCCTTCTAAATGTTTCTATCACGAGATCATTATCAGTAAAAAGACAATGAGTTATGATGTCACCAAAATCCTTCTAAATGTTTCTATCACGAAATCATTATCAGTAAAAAAACGATGAGTTATGATGTCACTACCGAAAATAAGCACCTTCCCAAATTTTACCTCCGAAAATAATCCCCTACACCACAATCCTTCTAAATGTTTCTACGATTCGATCAATTAATTTATCACGAAATTATTATCAGTAAAAAACAATGAGTTATGATGTCACTCGTATACAAGGTCTACCCCGATAAACCGAAGATGTCGGTGCAGCAATTTTTCTTCGGATTAGCGGGGTTGCTCTATAAACCGAATTGTATATTCAGGGAAACCATACGTTCAGATAAACGGGGGTAAGTGTTCAAGCTGCCAGATAATATATATCGTAAACAATAACATAAGCTTACTACACCAGCACTTGTGAAATTTGAGATTAAACCTTAAAGCCAGAGATTGATTGACATTGTTTTTCTTTACACTGATTTAACTCATACAGTATATAAAATTCTCGCTAAGGCCCTCTCTTTGTTTATTAACAATTTTTATAGACAAATATAATTGGTCGAAATATGCGGTTTATCGGGGTCAATATTCGGTTTACAAAGGTGGATGATATTATTGGCTATTGTTACGTTATTTTATTCGGATTATCAGGGTAAAATTTTATATGTTTGTTTCAGAAAATCTTCGGTTTACGGTTTATGGAGGTTTAATAGTAACTTCGGTTTGTCGGGGTAATTTTAATAGGCTAAAGTGCGGATTTCAAAAAAAAAATTTTCGGTCTAACGGGGTTTTCGGTTTATCGGGGTTCGGTTTATCGGGGTTGACTTTGTAGTTGTTACTAATATTGGAAAAAAGCTGTTTAAAAATTTCTTTTTTCACGCCCAATCATGACTCGCGAAACTTATTGCTAGAGAGCAAGAACGAGACAATATTGGAAAGTTTACCAAAAAACAACGAAACACTGATAATTGGGGTGATGAAGATGACAACGGGTGGGATGATGAAATTGATCTAAGAAATGAAAAAATAATTAGGCCTCTTGAGTTAAATTGGACGGAGTATGCAGTTAAAAAGTACAAATCCCACTAGATTATGTAATTGAAAAATTAAATAAAATAAAATAAATTATCGGTTTAAAATCACGTGAATTACGTGATAATTTACATTCAAAATTTCGGCCACCATATTCGTGAACATCATAATAGGACACGACTGCTGTCCGACTTATCGTTATTCTATGTACAAGAAGTTTTGCGTTCCTTTATTAGTTACTATGTACAAGGAGTGTGATTTGGGAATACATACATGCGTTGTCTATCGGATAAAAAATTTTGTGAAAAAAGCAAATACACTGACGACTTGGGAGTACGTTGTTCTGTGGTTGGTTCCAAAAATTTTAAGGAACGTAATGCAAAAACTTCAGGAGGAATCATCGTCAGTGGACACTGCTGCTATCATCAATGCCTTGCCATCGTTGAAAAGTATCCTGCTCTATTCCCGATATTTTGTCCATTATTTCACTACCCTCAATTCCCTCAACACCATTTATACCACTAGATCCAAACACATTCCATTCTATCCTTGATACCTTAGATTGGCTCCTGAATCGGTTTGTCAGGAAACTTAGGAAGTTAGATGAGTTAGATGACACAACAGAGGAAAATGATTTTGATAAAATTGACGAAGATGAAAAAAAAAAATGTGGAAATGGGTGAATCAAATATGGCTGAATTTAAAGATTCATGCAGATTAAAGCCAGACTTGCTGGACGCAAAAGGACAAGGACCGCACCATTCTTACTACCAAGGACTCGCAAATTGCTTTGTGCGCAAATGCTGACGGTTCTCATAAATTAAATCCATCAGCAATTGGTGAAATACATAGACGGCAGCTGGGTCGTCAGCTCAGATCCAGGTGACTCCACTGATTGAGAATCATATGGTACAAATCCAACGTCAGTCATGTCATTACTTCAAGACATGTCCGCTAGAATAGATATGTTGGTGCAGGAACAACAGGAAAAACCGCGATGCTTTACCAATATTATTATTTGCCAGTAACGTATTGTAGCAACAAGAAAACTAGGATGTTGGCGACTATTTTTCAAGACCATCTCATGATGAAATTTACACATGATTAAAATTTTGTGTGTACAGTTATGTCATTATTACTATTATTACTGGTACCGGAGTCATTGCTAAGCGATATTTAGTTTGACCGGAATGGCTTCAAGAATTTAATAAGGAAGTGATTAAAAGACACAAAAATCAACGAGTTCTGTTACTTCTGGATAATTGCCCAAGCCATAAGACAGCTGGTGTGGCTCTTTCAAACGTCAATATTTATTTTCTCCCTCCAAACACGACAGTCAAAATGATGCAGGAATTACTATTACCAGTTTCTTAAAAAAAAAACAAAGCATTGAAAGTAGGGTTAAGCAAAGCAGAGAGTTAAAATGGATGTGTTGCAGGCAATAAATTACATTATTAGGAGCTGGGACGAAATTACACCAGTAACCATCAGCAACTGTTGGAATCATACCAACATTCTTCCGACTAGCATTGATAGATCTTAACCTGATAGCATGTTCGATTGAATAATCCGGAAGAAGAAATAATTTATGAAGTGCCCGATAACTGAAGAGCTTGTCAAAATATACAGAAAACATCAGACATTCCTATTGATGATAGTGAAATTGATAACAGCACTGAATCAATGTCAACGATGTTTAAAAAGGTTTAGAATTAGTCAACAACAAGATTCTAAGGAATTGCTCTAACATATTAATGCTCTTGATCATTACATTGGTTTAAAGCTGAGAAACAGACAATTCAGTAGACGGATATTTTATTTGTCTTTCATTATACTTAAATAAATACAACTATATCAATCACGTGTACAAATAAAATTGGGCGTGCATACAAGTATCAGAGCGTTATGCGGTGTTCGAAAGTAGATCAGTATTTCTTGTGAAAGCATTGAATAGTGCTATGTTGTGCTGAAACGTTAGAAGATCATGACAAGAAGAGTATCCAGCATTTTCACAAAAAAGGATAGTATGATGCTTGCCTATATCCAATGCTTGCATATGAATAACGGGTATACCAAGTTATTTATTTACCTATGTTTTATAGCATATGTCTTCATGGCCTTGACTTCATTTAATACTATATTCCTATATTACTGCTCTTATAAGTTTCTGAATCAATCTTTACACAAATCAATACACTCTCCGCTCGTTAACGCAACGGACATTTCTTCGAGCCTGGTTTCTTCTTAATGTGTTCTTCAAAGATATTCATAATGTTTCGATCATCCCACTCCAACTCACGCGTCTTGGGCCCTTCCGATTGGTTTCCAAACTTTAGCTCTGCCCTCCGTCGCTTAGCAGAAGCTGCTGTGCCTACTGCCTCGCTTTCAGAATAAAAGTACTCCGGATACGTTCCTCCAAGATTTGTACTGATCGGGGTTGAAGTCGTAGCAATGGGGGTAGTAACACTAATCGGGGTAGAACTACCAGGGGAAGTCGCGGACATCAAGTCAAAAGACGAGTTGGATTGGATGGTGGGTGATGACTGAGAAGTTGATTTTTCCTCAATAACCTCAATAACCGGTGCCGCTTGTTGATAATGTTGCAAGTTAGGTATTATCTTCTTCAGCGCATGATCACGCAATGAATGCCACGTGTGCCTTGGAAACTATGTGACCAAAATAAATGATCCATCGTGTTAATAACATGCGCATATAGCAAAGCATGAAAGTCTAATGAAAGCGAGTGAAGAAAGTAATCTCAACACGGTAAGGCATATTACCTCTGGCTCTATTTGTTTATATATCTCATTTCCTTTCAGATGACTGTTTAATCTTTGTTGTTCTAACACAAACTGAACCAATTTGTCGTCCTCTTCTTTTGTATAGTGAGCACGACTACAATAAGTGTCAGAAATAATTAGTCACAGTTGGTAATCAGCAATGACTCTTAGATAATTACAGTAATAATTTTAGGTACCCGATTTTTCTTGTCCTGACTTTCATGAGATAGTTGGCCGGCTGTTGTAAACAGCCTTCTTTAATAGAGTCAAGAGCGAACATGAAGGAGTATTGGCCAGGCTCTGTTGTATCTTTTCGAGGGTTTGCAAGTATAAACTGAGCGGCCCTTGGATCCTCTGTCATCACGCCACCGTGGTTCTTTTGTTAGGGATAACCATAAATTCACTGTCTTCGTGAGGTGAGTCTTCTTCAACATAATAGGATAATACAACAAACCTGTATTATTATCATTAAATTATCTCTATCTGGTACATCTTTCTTAACATAAATAACATATGGATGACCAGTACTAGAGTCGGTAAAGATTAAATTTACGTTTTGTACGCCTGTTGTAGACATTTTTACCATTCGAAAAAGTGGAAAGCGTGCGTTTCCTGTTCGTGAACGTGCCGACAACAATAAATGCGTTCATTGGTTGATTTAAGTGCAAATCGATTGACCAATCATGATCATATGCCTAAATACGATAATCAATAACGATAATAGTAATAGTTCTATTTTGTGCTTGGGACTGTGGTCCTTCAACGATCAGCTGACCAACGTAGGGGTGATGTCAAAGCTCGTTATATAATGGCACAACCCATGAACTAATAACATATATTAATATTATTTGTTATGGTAGACTTGCACACGTAATTCCATATACACAGCGAAAGTCGATATGACGGTTTGTTTATATAACGGATTTCGCTTAGTACGGAGTTTTTCTTGGAACCAGAGTTTTACTAATTAATATAACGGAGTTTACTATTAAATCGTTGTAGTGCGATTCCGGGAGTTTTTTTTTGATGAATGGAGATTAATGAGGCATTGTTCAATATAACGGAATTATGCCGGAGTCCGCTGTAAGTGGCTGATCCGTTATAATCCATAGTAATATTAATAGCACAAATTTATTCGTCAGTATAATAAAGATCAGGTTGTCAAATATTTTCTTTCTTGTATATTAATAACATTTAACAATACTATGGGGGAAAGGACAAGGTTTCATTAATATTAACGGCTTTACAAAAGAAAGAAATTTGCAAACATGCTTCTAATGCAAACGTTCAACAGGAAGTTATTACTAAAGCAAAAGAATATGGTATTACATTAACAAATTTAATAAATATCAAATAATAAATAAAAACCGCTACATCTAAGATTTTCTGTGTTTGCTATATCGGTTTTTCGATAAACGGATTGTCACAGTATAACGGATTTTATGCCTGTCCCGTTATATTGACTTTCACTGGTATTGTGAAATTTATATTTTCTACTTGATACAGTTATGCCATAAATTCCCTTAAAAATTGAAAGACTAGTAATAAATGTGACAGATTAAAATGAAACCGGATTAAAATAAAATTTTCTCATGAAAATTTAAAATTTTGGGGGGGTTTAGGGTAACTTTTGTTAATAGAGGGTTTTAGAGCATTAAAAGAGAATCCAAGAAGACCCCAAATTTCGTTTTAATTCGATTTTGTTTTAATAAATGTCAATGGATATATCTAGACTTGGTCGCATTCAATAAAAGTAAATGGTCCGTCTTCATTCCTATTGGCTGAAGCCCTATCTCCGTTATAGTGCGACTAATTGTGAATAGACTTACCCAAAATTCCATTATAGCTAATAACGCGGGCTGCTATAAAAATCCACTGTAACGAGCGATTTTTTATATATGGAAATTGTGACAAAAAAAGATCTTTTATAAAGCGATTCCATTGTAACGAGATCCACTATAACGAGCTTGAACTGTAGTGTTCGAAAAAAAAAAGATGACAAGAATTCATTTCACCATTCTCGAAAAATGGTTTTTTGAAAACCCTATACAAAATAACGAGCCGCTAACAACAACGATACCACATTTTTGTTTCATGGAAGAACGGGAGGGAGCCAACTCAGATTTGCAACGAGTTGGTCAATGCAGAAGCACGCTTCATATATTCAAGGACGGAGATGAAAGCATTTACGACAAGGCTCGTTCTAGACGCCCTTGCGAAGCGGTAACGTCGGAAAAAATTGCCAAAGTTGACGACCTTGTTACCAATGACCTCGTAAAAAAAAAGAGCCATTACTTAAAGTATACATTTTTATGGCGAAAGACTCACAGAGGGTATGGCATCCACGCATTGAAGAGATCCCAAATGTGCATAACAAACTCATGATCCCTTTGCTCTATTCGCCAATAGCACCAATAACACTTCCCAAGTTGGTTCTAAATGAGTGTCATTTTTGGAACTGGATAGTCAAGGAGGTATTTCCCGTGAATAACTAGTGTAGTATTAAAGTCCGGTCAACTGCGTTGACCGGGCAAGTTATAATAGAGTATGGTTAATATGTTAAGTAATGTGCAGTAGTTAGTTTTATTTTTGATATGCGGGATTAAAATGGGGAAATTGTTGAGCAACACGTTGTATTCTTTTACTACATTTGAAAAGCAGTTCACTGATGTTGAGGTTTTCCCAAGTCGGACACCTGCCAATTGCAACGTAAGCTTGACCTGGAGAGAATATGTGATGATCTAATAATACAGGTATTTTTATAATGTAAGACCCTGAGTTTTATGTATTGAATAAATTCTGTAGAGAAAACTGAGTTCGAGAAGCTTTTTGCCCTGCAGCATAAAAGTATGAAGTATGTTATTGTATTCAACGATGGACTATTGCATTCTGTACACAAATTTCCACTTGGACAGAATGTGAATTTTTATCAAAATCAGTGATAATGCCAATAGTTCCATTGCAAATACCTTATTTTATAAGAAAATTATTTAAGAACATTACGCGAGATCCTTCTTGAATGCGTACGGTCAGGGCCCCGTCGAAGATTCGTTTTCGTCGGAATCTTCTGCATCTTCTTCTTTTTCAGAAACAAATTATGTAAATCGGATCAGTTGGGAGGGAGTTATCGTCGGGTAGGCGGCAGTATGCGAGACCTTTTTATGTTGTTCTCATTTACAGTTTGTTGGGTAATGTAAGCAATGACGGAAAGGGAAGCAGGCATTTTTTCAAGAGAAAAGTAATGTAGAAGGTATGGCAATAGAGATATTTTATACATCTTTCTTGTTTGTTTTTGTTTACCGAGAAAATAACGAATATTGTCAATTTATGTTGTGTATTTTTCAGTAAATTTTTGGTATCTTAAAAGCCGTAAATAAACATATGTTATGATTACACATCAGTTAATTAAATAACCGTTTGCTATTAACTCAATTATTTTTTCCTTTTTTGTAAATAACACCAATGATTTTCTTGATCAAAAAAGAAATATGCGGCAAACGTGTTATAACGTACTAAACTTTCTATTTCTTATGTGTGCTTTTAATACCTTTAGCGTTCAATCGTAGGTGTAGCTAATAAAAGAACGCAAAACTTCATGTGTGCTTTTACGTAATTATCTATCTAAATTTGATTTAATCAAATAAGCGATAATAACATTTCTTGCCAGTTATTTGTAAATTTATTTGTATTTGAGAAAAGAAGAAAAAAAAGCTGCGTCGTATTAGGTTTCGTTTAACGGGAACGTTTGACCACTATGCAAAAGCTTAGACTTCTGCTTGCTTTAAAAACGGGCCCATACTGACGATCGCTAGCCATTAATAGGAAGTACAATATTTAGTTGTAACCAATAATTACACGCCGTTAGACGTCGGTAAAGTTTCGGATTTGGTATGCAAAAGTGTAATAACGTTGAAAAAAAAAAAAGCAACGTACTACAAATCCCCCAACTGACCAGGTTTCAAGTTACACAGAGATTGATATCATTATCGCTCGAGAGTAAAGTCTGGTCTCAACTTTGTACGAAATGAACGATTTTGTTGATTTATCCTCGGGTCTTTCAGCCGACTATGAGAAATTGTTTGAAAGTGGCAGATATACAGATATTTCGATCCATGTTGGAAAGGAGCCAAGTAGCAAAATATTTTTCGCTCACACATTGGTAATGTGTACGAGAAGCAAATTTCT